GGCAGGAGGGGGGAAGATATGTGATTGGGGGTGAGGAGAGAAAGAGTGTGGGTGGGGTACCTCCATTTTTCAGGTTGTCTGACAGCTTTATGTACAGTATATTTTAGGAAAACTTAAATATACTTCTTTTTTATTTAGAATTTTAATAAAATAGAGTTTGATTCTGATGAGCAAGATTGTGTGTGTCTGGTTGAGCATTTGTGTGTGTATATACACCTATACAGATCTATATTATATATACAGTTTTTGTACTGTCATTTAAAATAAAGGTGTTTCTTAATAAAATATCAAAGTCTTACCATTTCAGGGTGTCACTGAAATTTTTTACATCTCCTGGGCAAAAATTGTACCTACTCCCCAATCACAGGTAAACCTCAATACAGTCATATGCCACTTAATGACAAGGATATGTTCTGAGAAATACATTTCTAGACAATTTTGTTGTGTGAACATCACAGAGTACTCCCGTACTCTTACATGGTACAGCCTAGTGCACCTAGGCTGTAAACTTATACAGCATGTTACTGTACTGAATACTTAGGCAATTGTAACATAGTGGTATTTGTGTGTCTGTCTAAACATAGGAAAGGTACAGTAAAATTACAGTATTAAAGATTAAGAATGGGCCCTGACCAATGTGGCTCAGTTGGTTGGATGTCATCCCACAAAACAAAAGGTTATCAGCTTGATTCCCAGTCACTGGATATGAGAGGCAACCTGTAGATGTTTTTCATGCTCTCTTTCTCTTTCTAAAAATAAATAAAATTGAAAAAAAAAGAATATTCAGAATGGTATACCTGTATAGGTATAACCTTACTGGTACTCCTTGTCATGAGTGGAGCCTGTAGGACTAGAAGTTGTTTGACGTGTCAGTGAGTGGCAACTGAGTGTGAAGGCCTAGAACATCGCTGTACACTACTGTAGACTTTATACTATAGACTATATAGTATAGTCTATAGGATGTAGACTATATCCTTAAGCATGTTTCTCTCCATCTCTTTCTCCCTTCCTTCCCCCTTCTCTAAAAATAAATAAAATCTTTTAAAAAAAGAAAAAGACTATAGGGAACCCTTGAGCAAAGTGTGGGACTGCACTCTGTTCCCATAATCAGTCCTAATGTTTAAGAAAGTTTTTATTGTAAAGAAAATTGATGTTTGAGAGAGGCCAATAGAAATAAGAGCTTCCATGCTGAGCTTTTGCTACATGTCTAGCAATGAGCTAGGCACTTGGCATACACACAAATATACCTATCTTGCAAATTTGTATTCAGTATATAGATACAAAAGAAAAAGAAAAAAAGGTGACTTTCCCCAGAATCCCTCAGCTTTAAAAAGTTGTTCTAAAACTACAGTTTAACGATCCATTCTAATGCCTGCTGGTCAGCAGTGGCCTGCCAGGCTTCGCTTGTGGACTAGAGCACCCTGGTAGTGGCACCAGGAGGCGTGAGCTCAGCGGCTGTGGGTTCACATACGCGCGCTTCTGGACATGCGAGGGGCAAAAATAAATAAATAAAAAAAACTACAGTTTAGCTCTGCCCAGGTAGTTGTTACAGCATCCTCACATCACCTCAGTACAGCAAGGTTGCGAGTTCCATCCTCGGTCAGGACACATACAAGAAGCAACCAAGGAATGTATAAGCGGAACAACAAAATTGAGGTTTTTCAAATCAATGAAAAAACTAAATAAAACTCCAGTTTCTACATAGAGTTATTAATGTTCCTCCCTTTGTAGTTTGTCCTTTAATCAGAGTGCTATCTTATCTGGCTTGGGCAGCTAGATTCATCTCCAGTTGCTGTTAAGAACCTGGGCAGCCTTTCTTGCAAACTCCTCAAAGTAAATTTTGTTCCAACTAGTTAAGGAGCCATCTCCATAAAGTTGCTAGCCAGCAGTACTTGAGCAAGGAGAATCAACGATAGCCTCTCTTGTGGGGAATGGACAGGGTCTTCATCTCTAGATATGCTGGATATTCTCTTTTTCCTTCCAGATTACCCTCCTCTGTCCTGTATTTTATTCTGTATCCTGGGAGGCTAACCTGCATGAATTTCATCAATGGGCTTCCTGTATTCTGGCTTTCTGTTGGATTCAGCTAATAGGGAACTCTGGCAGAAGACATCCCTCCCCTGGGTTCACCTGGTTCTAGCTGTATCCTTTGATCAAAGGTCACTGCTTCTCTCAAGGCAATCCCTCCTTCCAGGTCCCAGTATCCACTACCTCCCTTTGTCCTTTCAGGCCTGAGGCTGTTACTAGCCTCCAGTTACCGACCCATCCCTTGCCTATACTTTTTAAAAATAGCCCTTCATTGTTTAGGAGCATGCCATCTATTTCCTGTTGGGACCCTAATTCACCTGGAAAAGGTAGGTCATCTTTTGGATTCATAGGCTTCATATTCTCCCCATGTACTTGAACCTTCCTCTCATACATGTAACCTTACATTCTTATGAGTCAACCGTACTAAAGAGTCAACTGCTGAATAGAGTAGCAGAGAGTGACTCATGCCTGTATGGTTCTCAAGTATCAGGTAGTAGCATCAAGGAAACATAAATCTGAGAGACGGTAATAGCTCAGGCCCCTGTGACTTAGCTCCTAAGAACCCAAGATGCTTTTCAAGCTTTGTGATTCTGGGACTTTCTGTGTTTCAGGTCCCCAAAGCCTTATACAAGCTGATGGACTCTGCCTACTGGGGCCCTGGTTTCTCCATAACCTCCCAGGATACCTCTGAGAATCAGCTTAGAAATCCCTCAGGATGACAAGTTTATCCTCCTTTTCGCACTTTCTGGTTTTTATAAAGACAAAGTTTGAGCTAATATCCTAATTAAAAAAAAAAAAGACGACTATCAGATTCCTAAATTGGGGTCAGGTTTTCCTTCTATTGTCAGTGATAATAATTTCTTTGAATTCACCCCCTTAATTTATTATTCACTACTCTCCGTCAGGATGAGTATTAATGAATTGCATATTTGGTAGTAGTCTACTTTATTTGGGCAAACAATCATCACCCACAAAGCACTTAATTTAAACCTATATATTTATACGGTGCTTTATAAATCCATTGGCATATGTTCTTCCCCTACTTTACAAAGAATTGAGGCTCAGATAAGGCAGTTGAGTAGCCAAGGTCACAGACAAAACTATTAAGCTGCAGAGCCAAGTACTGTTGCTCTCACTGCAACATAGTTGCTTTCACTAGCTTCTAGCAGGTTCTGAGATTCCACGGAGGCACACAGAGAAATCGCCATATTTTATAATAATAAGTGAACACCATTCACAAACCGAAATCAGAACTTTAACCTGTAAATTGCTGCTGCCTGCAAAGTCGCTAAGTTAGACTTCCATTGTACTTCTCTTTTGGGTCTATAGTTAACCTGAGTGTCATTTACCCATATCCCCGTGACCACCTTCTGGGCAAGAACTAAAATATTTGTGAGACTTACCCCTCAGAGGGCAGTGAAAGGCTGCAGCCTTAAATTTTTTTTTGCTTTGTCCTGCCTTTAACACTGATTTGAAGAGAATAATGAAGTCAGGTGATCAGAACGTTTCTCCACCCCTTCCTTGCTCTCCACCATTTAGAAAACTAGCAATGGTTTCAAAGCATCTTGGTTTAAGAAAGACAGCTAATAAAGGAAAAACTGACACCTAAAGGACGTCTCCAACTCGGTGAAAGGAGCTTCAAGCAGAGTGTAGACTCTGGAAGAAAGCCGAATGTGGTCCAACAAGCTGAGTTATGAGGAATGTTCAGGAGGCATTTCAAAACCTTGAGAGTAAAATCTATATATGAACGTTATAAGGGTTCAAAGGGAAACGAACTGCTCGTAGATCACAAAATGAGGAATAGCCTAAGCCTGAGTTTGGAGGAACCACCATCGCACAAGCTACCATGTTTTCTCCTTTAGAAAACATTTTTACAGACGTTATCGTTCTTGAGCCTCTCAATCCCACTTTTCAGATGAGTAAACACACACTAAGGGCAAAGCTTTGACTTGTCAGGATCACAAAGTAGTAAAGGGCTGAGCTAGAAACAACCCCAGAGTTCTTCAAATTGTTCGTAGCAGTTTCCCGCCGAAGGCGTAAATGCGTAAAGGCAGAAAACTGGGAGGACTGACGAGGCGCCCTTAGTTGCAGGGCTTGGTCTGGCCTACAGGCGGCTCCCGCGGGAGGGCGGCCCAGGGCTCCAAGTGGGAGGATACTCGGGCCACAAGCGGGTAAAAAACCCGACTTGTAAATCCGCAAAAGCAGCCACAGCTGGCGCGAGGCATTAAATGTCCTTAGAGCAAGGTAGCGGGCGGGCGCAGGCGGTCCTGTTCGTCCCTCCCATTGGCCCCGAGGGTAAATGGCAGGTACGTGCAGCCAGCCCCAGCCAGAGAGGCATCAATGACCACCACAAGCCGGCTGATCCTCAGCGCGCTGGCTTTATTGCGGCCCCTGGCACAGCGAGAGGCCGCGCATGCGCGCAACGACGCGCGCTCTCGACCCCCCTCCAGCTCTGAGACGGGGAACTGCTCTTTAGGAAACAGCTGGAGAAGACCCCGGACTCCAACAGGGCCGAATCTTTTGCTCTTTTTTGTTTGTTTTTTGCAGCGTACGCCTCATGCAACCCAGACCCTCCAAATTATGTTTAGGACAAGATTTCCTGATGTGAAACTTAAATCATTTACGCTGCGCCTTCATTTTATTTCTCAAAAAAATCCTCCCCCACCCCATGGGTACCTCCATCTTACCTCAATCCAGAAACGTGCTCCTAGCGCCCTCCCCAACCCCACCTAAACTCTACCGTGGGTCTCCTGGGCCCTGGTCCACACCCTTTCTTCCCTGGTCTCCTTCAGGAAACCTTTCCTGATTAACCCCGGTGGGACTGCAGCCATCCCAATTACTGGGGAGAGCTCAAGGCCAAGGTGAAGGCAGAGTTTCAGGGGCAAAGGTGCTAGGAGGGAGCCAACCGATTCCCGCCCCGCCCCGCCCCGCCCCTCCGCGAGTGAAGTCAGGCAGCAGCTCGGGGACACAGCTGTATTGGGGAGCGAAGGCTCCTACACAGTAGGAGGAGGCAAGTCCCAGGAGACCCGGAGGACTCCGTACACAATGCACCATGGCCCCAGCCCCATGTCTGTCCGCCTGCGGCCGCCGGGGGCCCAGTCTAGGGAGGAAGCCCAGAGGGGCGAGTTAAGGCAGCTTGGCTGGAGGAGTGAGGAGTGGGAGCGGAGTGTGCCAGCCCCCCCCAAAAGCTGGCTCATTGAGGGGGCAAGCTTCTCATCTCCCACTCCTTTCTTGAGGGGACAGAGGGAAAGACAGTCAATAAATAAACCCGAGGTGGGCAGGGACCCCGGAGACTCTCAGAGTCCAGGAAGGCTCGAGGTGTGGGACGAGGAGAGAGGGAGGTGACCTATCCTTGGAGGCATGTCCGTGCTCACGGCCAAGGCAGAGCCCCTTCATTTAGAAGTTAAAATGGCTGCCGTTAGGGATGGCCGGCGGCTGGGAGGTCGGTACGACCAGGGGTAGCTTCCGGGGCAATTGGGGCTTCTCCACATCCACTCTCTTCAGGGTGCGGCCCCGGTAGCCCTCCGGGCGGCCCAGATACAGGTGTCTCCCGGAGTACCTGGAGGGGCCTCCCGAAGGGACTCGAGTGAGCAGGGCGGGGGGTGCACGGTGGGCGGATAAGGGCAACCTCCGGCTGCCCCCCACCCCCAGCCGGGGAGCGGGGACCGGCCGGCCTGGGGGCACCGGGCACTGCCCATCTGGGGGCACGTCCAGGCGCACCGGTGGGGCACATTCCCGGGGCAGAAGGCTGGAGCCCCCCAAGAGGGCGGGGGTGGGGGCGGGCTCTGCGGGGAGCGCCCGCGGGGTAAGGGGGCCCAGGGACTCTGCTCCCCTGCGGGATGGTTGCGGGGCGTGCAGGTAGCGCAGCAGTTCCTCCAGGGTGGTGACTTCCACGGCCTGCCCGGGGCAGCCGCGCGGCGGGGGCCTCACCAGCACACGCGGCGCCGGGCCGCCTGCCGTGTTCCCGCTGCGTGCGCGGCCTGGGCCCTCCTTGGCGTTGTTCCCATTCTGGTTCCACTCCCAGGAACCCCCCGCGTTGCGGAGGTGCTTGACCGGCAGCTCGGGCGTGGACTCCGGGGTGGGCAGGCAGGCCAGCTCCGGCGGGGGCCCAGCCTCGGGAGGAGGCAGGAAGGTGGTATAGAGCTGGGGGGTCTGCGCCGTGTCTCCGTTCTTGGAGGGCGCCGGTGGCTCTGGGCCTGGCCCGTGCAACCGGGCCAAGCTGCGAAGGGAGAGAGGGCGTGGGAGCCCGGAGGTCTCCATGTCCTTGCTCCTACGTCGGTGGGCGCGGCGACAAGCACAGGAGACCAGAAGGCCAGAGACTGAGGCGCCCAGGGCGAAGGCTGCCGCCACACAGGCCAGGAGAAGTGGGATGGGGACCGAGCGGGAGGCTGAGGCTGCGGGAAGGTCCCGGCGCACGCCTGCTGGAGAGGGAGGAGGCTCAGAGGTGGCAGGAGGGCTGGGATGGCAAGTTGCAAAGTTTAACCTCTCCTGCTGCTGCTCAGCTTCGCTCCGACATTTCCTTGACCCTCCTCGGGAATCCCCTCCCTTGATCCCTCCACACACAACCCATCACACCACCCCTCACACACAGGCTAGAGCTTGGGCCTGGGGAGTCCCCATCCCAGCTCTGGCCCCTGAAGCCAAGCCAAGAGCAACTGCCAAACAGCCCGTGCAGAGGGAGGCTGGGCTGGGATGCCCCACTCTGGGGAGGGGTGGCTCCAAACAGGCATTAGTGAGCACCAGACATGGGTCCTTGAGGGGCTTAGAATTCTTCAAAAACCAGCAGCCCCACACTTTATTCCTGTCCCTCCCAGCCAGCCACCTTACCCTGCGTGTGAGCTCCAAGAGTGGAAGACTGGGGCCGGGGGTGGGCATCACTGGGGGGGCTGGGGGTCTCAGGGAAAGGGCCAGGACCCAGAAGCACTGGTGACAGAGACCAGGTCAGGGCCAGTGAGGCTCCTGCTCTCCACCTCTGACACCCACTGAGCGGTTCTTCCCCACCATCCCCCCTGGAACCCAAAGGCCCAGAACCCCAGTCTCTGTTTTCCTCTGGCTGTGGGGAAGGGCTCACCATGCGGGACATTCATTTATTTGTTCAAAAACTATTTATTAAGCACCTTATTACTTGCCAACCACTGAGCTATATGCTGGATATTTGGAAGATGCTAACCCTGTTCTGAGACTCTCTGGGTGTCCAAGGTACCTGTCTGTTGCCGTGGGCACAGGCTTGAGTGAGTGTGGACTAAGCAAGGGAAGTGAAGTTGAGACAAGACAACTCACCGTAAGCAGAAGACCCCGTGCCAGACTGACTCCTAGCAGCTCCGTCTAGGAAGGGAGAGAGGGTAAAGAAGGGAGCGAGGGGAAGCTTCATGAAGAATTGATGGAGGTGACTGTGCCACAGAAGGGGAGAAAGACAAAACCTAGGCCTGCTTGGTGTCTGTGGCCATTAGAGCCACGTGCACCTATGGCTACAGCTGCAGCCTCCCCTTCTGTTTACCTTGGCAGTCACTATGCTCCATGGATTCCTGGTTCCCAGCTGGATCCACATCAGTCCTAGGAGGACACGGAGGTGGCTCAATGCAGTTATGCATCTTACCCCACCCCCCCACACTGGCCCTCAGCTTCTCCTCTCAGTGGTGGGGAGCCTTCTCCTCAGGAAATCCAGGGGCCCTTCACTTACCCACCAGGTACCCTGATATCCACGCAGCCTCTGGAGTTATGCCATCCACAGTATGGGTCCTGAGAAGCCAGGCAGCTCCTAGGGAAAACTGAGTCATGTGAGGCTGGGACACTCTCCATTCTAATCACATTCCATTCCCCTGCGTCTTTGGCTCTCACTCTAATCTACAGGAGGCTCCTAGGCTGATACTCCTGTCCTATCCACCCCAAACCCTATTCCAGACCCCAGCTACTGCCCACCTGCAGAATGCTTGAGGTGACTCACCACCATCCATCTCCTGTATTTCCCTGCCATCCCAATGCCTGTGTTCAGGAGCTCCTGCTGGCCCAGGGAACCCACCCAGGCAGGGCCTAGCCTTAGGCCTGTCTCACCTCCGACAGGCCCCATGCTGGGTACACCGACTGAGAGGGAGGTAGATGATACAGCCAGAAAAAGCCACGAAGAGCCTGTGACTTTCAGTGTCCAGCTCCAGCCCTATGACCCGCCGCGCTGTTTGGGCTGCCCGCTTCCCACTGCACCTAGGGTGAGGCCAGAAGGAGTCAGAGAAGGGGTGGCCCTGGTGAGGTTCCTTTTCCCCTAAAGGTGGGGAGAGGCACAAGCAACTGCGTATAGCTCTCGGCCATGGTGTTCCCGAGTGACCACCCTGCCCCACCACACTGTCCAGCTCCTCCCCAAGCTCCTCACTCTGTGCCACAGCTTCTGCCCTAGAGAAGCCAATGCTGGAGCTCCCACCCCTTCCCACATCCCCGTCTACCGCCTCATGTCCCCTCCCTGTGCTGCAAGGGCCTGCCAGACAAAGGCCTCATGTCCTCACCGGGAGGGGCTGTAGGCATCAGTCTCTTCCAACAGGATGGGCTCACGTGCCCCAGATTGGCCCCCGGGGGGCAGCACCTTCAACACTCTCCCATCATTGGAGCCCAGGAACAGGACTGTGGTGTTACCATAGGGACCAGCGGTGCCATCCACAGCTACCTGGGTCAGTAGGGCCCTGGAGGAATAAGCCTCAGGTCAGGACAATCTGACTAGTGGAAATGTGTGTTTCAAGGACAGCTCCAGTATCCCAGTACCCACTTCTGTGCCCTTCCCCCAGTCCAGGGTTCTGTTCTTAGCTCTGCCCTTTCCACTTTCACAGGTGCTTCCTCCCATCACTATGATCTACCTCGTGGGGTCAGAGGAGAGTGGCTGAAAGGGGAGGGTGCTGGACAGCGTCTTTTAGCCCCATACCTGCTGGTGAGGGTGAGCAGAGGCTGGTGGGTGGCAGGTGGCACGGCGGGGTCCAACAGTGGGTGAGCCTTAATGAAGGTCAGGACGTCATCAGGGAGATCTCGGGAAGACGGGAACAGGGCAGCTACACCTATTCCTGCACAGGATCCTGGCCTGGTGGGCACATGGTCGGGGGGCAGCCTTAGCGCAGGGCTGGAACTCAGGCTCCATGCTCCCCACACGCTGCTCCGCTTCCACACATGCACACTACTGCTCCCTTCCCAGCTGCAGCTTACCAGTCCCACCGCCAACCCATCACAGCCCCTCCCAGGCCCTGGACAGCTTTCCCTTTCCTTACGATCCCATTTTAGCAGCAGACACTGATGGCTTCTGCCCCACAGAAGCCACCCCCATCCTAAGTACCTGGGGGAGGGGACCCTGTCCTCAGACACAGGAGTCCAGGCCCCATCCAGACTCTTCTGCTCCTTGAACTTGCCCTCAAATCCACGTTCAATATCCTCCAGGTAGAACGCACAGACTGCGGAGCCAGGGATGCTGAGGGAGCCAGAAAAGGTCATGGGCTTGGTGTTGGAAGGGACAGCATAACTCCTCCCAGGGGAGACATGGCAGCTACCCTTCATGCACCACATTAGGGAGCAGAGCCTGCGAGGGGGCGGACACACCTGGGGGCCGTGCCAGGAGAAAAAAGGTGGGCAGAACAGCAACTGTCTTTGCATGGAGCTTCCCCTCACTGGCCCCATCAGTAAGCTCTGAGAGAGAAGCCTGGGCGCTGGTGGGGCGGGGGAGGAGACTGGGCCACACCGGTTAGTCTAGTACCAACCTATTGGTCTGGGTAGTGAAGACCCCAAAGAGCGCAGAACGGCCATGCAAGTTCACAGGCCCAGTCAAGGCCTGTAAGACATCAAAATAGAAGGCAGAGTCCCCAGGGACAGAGCAGTTGAGCCGAAGCTTCAGGAAGGATGTCCAATGCCGGTCCAAGGCCCGAGGTGAGCCACCCATGTCACGCTTACACACACGGGCCACACGGGAGAACTGTACCTGAAGGGGGAGAGCCGGGGACAAGGAGGACAGTGAGAAACAACCTCGGGGCCAGCAGGGTGGGAGGAATGAGATGAGTTAGAGCACCAGACACAAAGGAAGGGTGTGCTGTGCTAGGTCCATCTGGGTTAAGGATGAAGGACACAGCAGGGTATGGGGGCAGCGGGCTGGGGGCTATTCCAACTTGGGGGCCAGAGTCTAGGGGATCGCATTGCGAGTAGGGTCAGGAGCTGTCCCCTGACTCAGGACTGCCTTCGCAGGATCCAGCAGAGCCCTCTAGCTACCCACCCCTGGTGCCCACCACCTCCTTACCCTCCCCAGCCGGGTATCCTCCACAGAGACCTCTCGGAAGAAGAAGTAGACATGGTCTCCATGCTCCAAGGCATGGACAAAGTGTGGCTCTGAGCGGGGAGTGACAAGAAAGGGTATGAAAGAGTATCTATACCTGCTCAGAAACTCCTGGCCCCACACCAACACTCCCCTCTGCAAACAGGACACTTCTTTTGCCACCACCGTCTGCCTGCTCCCTGTCACAGTCCTCCCCAAGCACCTCCCCCCAGAGAGCAGCCTCCCGCCCCAGGCCCGCCCTGACCTCGGAGCCACTTGGAGTCGTACTTGGCGGAGCGGAGCGGGGGCTGAGGGCCAAGGCTTCTGTAAACTACAGCGTCACTGGCCTGGAAATCTGCGGCTGTGGCTGAATACAGGCTGCCCTCTGGAGGGATGGGTGAAGTGGGGTCAGGGGAGGCTTGGGATTTGTATTCTGGCTCTTTTTGGGCCTCCCACACCCCTACCCCAGCCTGACCGTGGCCCCTACCTCAACCCTCCACTCAGGAGCATGGGGGAAAAGACCAAATTGGGAGAGGGGCTAAGGTGGGAGCTCCCTCCAGCCACATGCCTGCTTCTCACATGCCCAGGTGCACACCTGCAAAGATGGCCACATTGGACTGGGTGGCATCAAAGGGGCATCGAGCCTGCCCACTCAGCTCCTCACCCTCCTGCTGCAGCGAAGTTATCTGGAGGCAGAGGGAGCAGGTTCTTGGAACCCTTGGAGTCTTGGAGTCTGGCTCCATAGCCCACCTCCTCATGTCCCCTTGCTTCCTTCCCTCACCGCTCCTGGACCCCTACGCTCTGGGCACTCCGAACCCCCCAGCCCCACTGGTCTGTCCTCCGTACCAAACTGATGTCCACTTGGGCTTTCCTCCCACGCCCATCCTGACCCCCACCCTCGCCTTTGTACCCCATAGCTGCGGCACACGGGGCTGAATGAGTTCGTTCCACAGGCAAGGAGTGTCTGCGAGTCCCAGGGAACAAGAACACGAATGTAGTTGTAGCACTCGTCCTAGAGAACCCATAACTCTAGGTCAGTGATGGGGTCCCTGGGACTGGGTCAGGGGGTTACAGGAAGTAAGGCCGCTCCCCTTGAACCAGTCAGAGCAATGTGGGGTAAAATCCAAACTAAGCTATTCACTAGCCCTGTGGCCTTGGGCAAGTCCTTTGGCCTCTTGTCAGAGCGTCACTTTTCTCTCTTGCGAGGCATGTGAAAGAAGCTAAAAATCAAGAATTCCCTTTCTCGTGCATTTTCCTCTGTGGCCTGAGATGAGAGAAGTGGGTGGGAAATTGGGCACGGTAGAGGACTGCTTGGACAGAGCCTGGGGGCGGGGTGATCTCCTTCCCCCGAAATTCTCGTCCCACTCCTCACCGTCAGCTTCCCCCGCACAGCACAGTTCTCCGTGTCTTGGCTCCTCCATGTTAGGTACTGAAGGGAGAAGTGAAAGAGGGAAAATCACTGGGCGACCTGGACCCCACCTACATAATGCGTCTTTCAGGTTAGTTTCCCCACCCCCTTGACTCCCATTAGAACTTCCCTAGCCTCATCTCCAAGCCTGCACCTCCTCCCACCCAACCCCTCACCTTGTTGGGAACCAGCCCCTCCCCTTCTTCTTGAGCTTTTAGATCAAAGGAGAAGACGTGATCCCTAAAGAGACAGAAAAAGGGGGATCAGAGACAAGCCAAGGCACCCCATCTGTGCTCCTGAGTCCCTTTCTTGCCCTCGTTCCGCTGCTCAGGGACAAGCAGTGCACACCTCCTGCCCCCTACCCTCCACGCCTTGGGGTTTGTGCTCTGAGTCCCAGCACGTCCATGTCCCATGGCTTGTACACCTGCACGTGTCCCCTGCAAGGTCCTGCAGTGACCATGCAGGCCCATGTCTGCCCAGGAGCATGTGTGTCAGCCCCACAGCTGTGCCACGGCCAGTTTACCGGGCAGCCACTAGCAAGGTCCGGTTCAAGGTCAGGAATTTCTGGAAGTCCAGTCCAAGTTCTGCAACCACAGCATCATCCTCCAGGCCTCGGAACCAGGATAATGGGGAGGTACCTAGAGAGCACAGAGGGGTGGTGCTGAGGGCCAGCCAGGGTCCCACGCACTCCCTCAACACTGTCTCCAACCAGATGAAACCTAGCCATGGACACAGCGGATATGTGAGATGAGTCGTGAGTATTAATTAATGAAGCTGTTAATAAAAATAATACCAGCTCACTCTGAGCACTTAACCTCTGCCAACCACTGTTAGCACCTTAGGTGAGTAGTCTCATTTAATACAAGGACACCATGAGGAAGGTATTAACACTGGCCCCATTTTACAGGTGAAGAAACTGAGGCTTAAAGCCATTAAGGAATTTGCATAGCTCTTTTAGCTTGGAAGTGGCAGGCACCTGAATTCAGCTCTGACTGACTCCGGACTGAGCCCAATCCCTTCTTGGTGCTGCTTTAGGGCTAGTGATTTCCTTTCGCTCCTACAATGTACACTGTCCCGTCTGGAGCTTTTGTTCATCCCATTTCCCCCAGCTCTCTCTCTGCACCCTCCCCCCAAGGCTCTTCACAGACTGCCTCAGCCCTCCAAGGTCTCTGCCTCCTCTCACCCACTCCAGCATGCACCTCCCACCTGGCTGATCATGGCAACCACAGCCATCAGCATTCAAAGGGAGTCTAGAGTTCAGGGTAGGTGGTTTAACACTCGCATAGTGCTTAGGACTGCGTCTGGCACCTGTGTTTGCTACTCTTATCTATGCCCTGGCAGTTACTCCAAATAAACCAAATGCAGTTCCTTCATCCTTAAAATTACTCTAAATCCTACATATATAACAGAAACCTACAAATAGATAAAATTCTTCTCATCAACAGTGAGATGATGATTTCCCTCATGGTAGGACATGGGCTTAGTAGTTGTACAAGTGGTGGAGAGCGAGCTGAGAGGTGCTGGGAACCACTCAACTAGTTCCATGTCTTACTTTTGTAGCTAATAACATGGCAAACACATAAAGAATTCACTTTGTGCTATGCGTGTCCTCAGCACATTACATGTATTACTTCATTTAGCCCTACATAACTGAGGTAGAATACTATCGTTACCTTCATTTTGCAGATGAGGAGACTGAGGCAAAGAAAGGGTAAGTTACTAGACAAAGGTACAGAGCAGCTCTGCAGGGATTCCCACCTGTTAAAGTCTGGCCTGGCTGAGAGTCATGTTCTTAACCACCACGTGATGCTGCCTCACAGTGAAGAAAGTCGGCCCAGGCCTGAGAAGCAACTGACGTGAGGTGCCCACTCTCCACCTGTCTCTTCCCCATTTGTTGGTCAGGCTCTGAGCTCCCTGGAGGCTGGGAGCCCTCTTGCACCCTGCCTCCCACACAGAGGGTCTCACACCTCAGAGTGCAGTTCCCAGTTCCAGGCACTCACCTTGCAGGTCAGAGGTCAGCAGAGGGAGGGGGTCCTGGGGGAAGGCGGCCTGGGTGTGGGGCAGTGAGAGCAGAAGCAGCAGTAGTAGCAAGGGCATGAAGTGGGGGGCGCGGGGCATCCTGTGGGGGGCAGCTCAGGCCCCAGGGGGTACCCCCTCACCCATATGCTGGCCCTGAAAGAGGACACAGAGAAACATGGGATAGGGAGCCAAATTCTCTCCTCCCTTAAAGCAGGCAGGCTCCTCCCCGGTCTATCCCCAAAAGACCCTATGGAGTGGGAATAGAACCCTCTCTCTGGCACTGCCTCAGTCCCAGCCGACTGTCACTGTCACTCAAGGCCCTACCCTCTCCAACTGGCCCAAACTGGCTGGTGTGAGGACTGCCTGCGTGACCCCAGGTAAGGACAGGACACACCTACTCCCCCTGCGAGCCTTCTAGCTCAGCCTTTCCTCCTCTCTCCTGACTGGGCCTGGGACACTCAGTCGGTGACACCTCCTGGCCCCCTTCTTGCTAACCCTTTCTCAGCTATAATTAGACACTGAAGCCTTAAAATTATAAATAGTGACTCCTTGGCACTGGGAGGAGGAAGAGGGCACCATGTCTGCCTCCCCCTCCCTCCCAGACCCCACAGCACCCTGGGAGCAATGCAGGCGCTGCGCCCAGGCAGAGGCAGCTGTGAGACAGCCACCATTCCCTTTAGGGTAGAGGAAGAACAGAGTGGGGGGAGGCAGTTTAAGGGTCATTTGCCTGGTCTAAACTCATGCTTCAGTGGCCCTCCCCATTGCTAGGGAGAAGCTGGGGTGGGGGCTGCTGTCTTAGCCAAAAATGAATCTGCATCAAAGCCAGATCAGAGGCTAAATTTAGCTCTGGCTGCAGCTGTCTGCTCGACCACTGTGGCCCCCTTCCAGCCTCTCTAGCCCCCTACTCCCTCACCGGCTCCTAAAAACCAGTACTTCTACTTGATGGGGGGTCGCAGAGGGGAGAGCAGACCCACCCCAATCCTGCAAGAAGCCAGGGATAGAAGGGATACACTGTTGAGGAGAGATGGCTGCCCATGTCCCTCTTTCCCTTCATTCCCTCTTTGGGCTGCCTCAAAATGGAAATATAAATAATTCAATGACAGGCAGGCAATCAGAGTCCCAAGTCCAAGAAAAGAAGGGTAGCGGACGTGATGGTGAGACAACCCTCCTTCCCACCCATCGGCCTCCCCGCTCCGACTGGGACCCACAGTGGGAGGTGTACGCCAGTTTCCTGTCTTCCCCTGAAACAAGTGAGGGTCTGAGCAGGTTCCACAAATCAGGTCAGGAAAGTGAGAATCCTTTCTTTTTGTGAACAGACAGACGGCTCTCTACCAGTCCTTGGCTGCCCATCCTGCCGTGTCCCCTAAAGAAGAGACCCTGGCCTTGCAGACGCAGCCCATTCTGTCTCCCCAACAGTTCCACTCTTGGAGCCAGGACCCAAGTGTACCCCACCCCCAAACCAGCGTCAGTGGTGTGGAGGTTGACGTCAGATGGCGTCTCAAGAGAGCCAGAGGAGGAGAAGGGGTAGGAACACCTAATGATGACCCCCTCCCCAGGGGCAGAGCAGTCAGCTAGCTAACGACCCTCTGGTGCTAAAAGGCCAAGCCCCCCTCCCCCACACCTCCACCATGTTTCCGGATGCTGGGGCTCCCAGGGGAAGAAGAAGGGACACAGCTTGTCTCCTATCCTTCCTTTCCTGCTCCCCCTTCAAGTTGCCCCGGGCAACTGGTATCTTCACCCAGGAAACAACTTTGGTCTCCGACAGGTGGGGAGAACAGCCAGGCCCTCTCCCTGCTCCCAGGCCATCCATGCCAGCTCCCATCCCCTGCCCTCAGGAGCTGCTGCCCTTTTCTTACCTGGGGTGGTGACTGCTGTTGGGGTTTGAGGACAGAAGACCTTTGACCTGACGGAAGGAGGGACAGAAGTAGGGAAGAGACTGTGTTACTCTATCTCCTTACCATATCCCTTAAAAGTAAATGTGGAAATACAGGAGAAATCTAGTGAGGCAAGGGTGGAGGAGATGCTGCCCTGGAAGGTGGGGTGTGTGCGTGTTGACATTGAGCTTGTTTACCAAGGTGCTGGCTGCTTCAAGCCCAGAGATGGGAGGGCAGGGGCTGGGGCTGGCTCCGAGCCAGAAACTCCTGGAACTTCAGGACCAGTCTTGGGAAAGAGGTAACTGGGCGAGTTTGTGGGGCATGATGACCACTCCCACATTAAAACCCTTAGAATCCAGCAACCTTAGAAAAAGCACCCTAGCTGGGGACAATAGAGACTAATTTGCATCTCATTTACATGCTCTTCATTTCCAGGCAAAATGCTGATAGCAGGCACCCCCAGCCCCTTCCTTCTTCCAGGGGAGAGCAGACCGTGCCTCCTTCTCACCCAATCTCTCTCCACACAACCCCCCCCCCCCCACCACCACCTAGGTCCGGCCACTAAAAACACTTGGTTGGCCTTTGCATGGGCCACCTAGACTTAACTATGATACAGCTTTAAGAGGGCTTTCCATAGATGTTTTTGGGGAGTAGCAACTGAGCAGCCTGGGGAAAGGCTTACCCTGCTGGGACCAATCCCAGCTGCTTCATAGCCCCATCTGAAGCAGATGGGGGAGGCCTGGTCGGCTTTTTCTCCCCCTCCTCAATCCTCCCCTTGCAGGAAAGAGGAAACAGCCCTTCTCTCTCCTCCTGGCCCCGAAGCCACCACTGGGGAGTGGCCGAGGTCATAGCTAGAGTCTAGCTGGGACTGGGGAAGGGATGGAGATGGGGAGACCGGGCTGGGGACAATAGCAGGAAGCCTTCTGGCTGGTCGCCCGCCCCAGTCCACCTTCCTCTGGAGGAGCGGGGGGCGCGCCGAGGAGCCGCGGGGAACACACGCGTTCCTATCTCCAAGGCATTTCCTCCGCCCTTAGCTCTCAGTCCCAGGCTCACACCTATCCTCTCTTCCACCCAGCCCCCAGAGAGGATAATCCAGGTGTCTAGAGCCTCTCATGAGGTGGGACCGGGGCCAGGGGCTCGACGTGTCTCCCCCTCACTGGATCCGGGGCTCTGAGAGGGGCGGGTAGCAGAGTCTGGGCCGGGACCGGGTCCCAGAGCCACGTTAGCGGGAGGAGGGGCTGGAGGGGCCTGCAGGCGCAGACCAAGTGGGGATGGGAGCGGGGGTGGGAGAGCGGAGGCGGGTCTCCGAGGCCAGGGAAACAGAGCCAGGGGCTGGGAACCGACGAGGGCGGGTCCGGGGCCAGCGCCGACCCGGGTCGGCGAGCTCTAGAGGCAACCGCCAGCTCAGCTCTCCTCCTTGGGAGAGCTCGGTCTAACAAAGCCCCGGGCCGAGTGGGGTGCGCGAAGGAGATGGACTCTGGGACTGATGTTTCTTGAGGACCCCATTCCCCGACCCAGTGACGGAGCCAACCCCCTGGGAGGTGCTCAGACTCCCGCTTGCACAAGGACAGAGGTGCAGCCGTGACACGAAAGTCCGAAACGACGCATCCCCCTTCCCATCCTCGCAGGGGCATCAAGACGGTCCGGTTCTCCGAGGGTCTCGGAGCCCTAGTTTCCCTGATAGGGAGGGAAGGGTCCAGGTTTTCCACCCTCTGTACAGTGTGCACCTCATATCATTCCTTTTCACGCTCTCCAATCCAGGAGACTGGACTCACAGAAGCTCGGTAGACAGAGACGCCCCGACCCTGCGCCCACGTTGCAGTGACGGGGCTCGGCTACGGCCCCCTCCTCCCTCCGCGCACCCCAACTCCGCCGACCCTCTCCGCCTGCGAGGCACACTGCGCACTGGCACCTCCCGGGTCCCTCTCGCACTTGGGAAGCTTGACTCCAGCCTGCGGCTCCCAGTCCTCCCTGCCTCCCTGCAGCCTCTCCCCAGCTCCGGGGTACTTGCTCCGAGATCCGGGCCAGCAGGATCAAGAGCGCAGCGGGCGCGCAGGGGCCCCGCACCGCACCGACTTCGCAATCCGTGTTTGGGGCTCCGGCGAGGTGTGATAAGCGTCTGAGTTGGATGGAGCTTGGATCTGGACCCCGGGGCGCTGTCAGGGAAGGGAAGCCCAGGGTCCTAGTCGCAGCCCCCACTCCCGCCGCGGCTCCGCGGAGGAAAACAATGCGACCGCCCGGAGCTCTGGGCCGGGCCCCAGCAGCCCCGCCCGCCTCCCGGTCGGGCCCGCCTCCGACCCGCCTCGAAGTCACCGCAACTAATCCGACTCTCTCGGGCCGGCTAGACCCCGCCTTCCGGACACCTTTCCACCAATAGTCCCTTTCGGGGGCGGGGCGCTAGGAGTACCGCCCACTGAGAGGCCAGGCCGGGAAGCTGAGCTAGAAACCAAAGCCAGGCACGAGCTGGAGAGACCCGCGGACAGTCGCTGGGACCGGGACAGAGGAGGGGGGTCACACGCTTTGACTCCGAGAGGCCCTGGAAAGGAAGAGCAGCTGGGAGGAGAGAAAGACAGGAAACTCGGGGACCTCGGCTGGGCTCGGCTCTCAGTGCTGGAGCGACCCTCCCTCCCCCCTCTCTTTTACCCAATGGCTTTGGCTACTCTGCTCCCTGGGGAGTTTCCCGCCTCCCCGCCGCCCACTCTGCCCCCAACTCTCTGTTCTTCCTCTCTAGTCTTTTTACCTCAGCCCTCTTATTTCTCTCCATGTGCCTCCTCTGGTTCATCCTGGACCCAGTAAGGGAGGCCCGCATGCACTTATGAGCTTGAAGCCTGGAAAGGGAAAGGAAGATGTCACCAGGAGATTTTCCTTGTCTCCATAATTTCCTCCCCTTCCACCGCTACAGTCAAAGCAGGATGGGCTTGGGCCTCTAAGCAAGGAACTAAGGAGCCAGGATACCAGGATGGCTGGCAGTCAGGCTGGTGGCTGATGGAAAAGAACAGGTGAGTCCGGCTAAAGCCAAAAGAGAGATGTGGAGATCAGGACAAACTGACTCAGAGAATCACACTGAAAGAGAGGAAGAGTTACCAGCTGCCCCAACCCCACAGAGCCTTACTGTCCCCCAGACACAGGGTTAGTGATGTCGCATCTTTCCTCAGAGGACTGTGGACATTCCCAAACAGCAAAACTGCTCGTTCTCTATCCCCACCTTCCATAGAGACCCTTTGATTCTGGAAATGTCAGTGGGGAGGAAGAAAAAGGCTACTTCAGACAGTACTGATTGGCTTCCACCTTGGTATTGCCTGCTAAGATTCTTCCCTGTGTGGGAGCTGGGACAAAAGACAGACTTCTCAAAATTCCCTGGATAGTGGGTGTCCTGGGAGACACTGGCATTCTTGGATAGTTTCTCTGAGTGGGCACCTCCTTCCTACTGCCCCCACATCCTTTTCCCTGGACTGGAGAAAAGGAGAAACAGGGGTTTACTACTTCTAGCCAGCCTTTACTGGACTGAGATCAGGGTGCATAGCATCACCAACTGAGCTGAACCCCACCATGAGGAAGCAAAAGACATAAACACACACGCGCGTGCACACACACACACACACACACACAGAAACAGAGACACAGAGATGGAAGGCACACACAGAGAAACAGACACAGAGATGGAAGGCCTGGTGAACCAGTGAGATAAACACAATTCAAAACAATGGAACAATACTTATACAAGGTTAACTGCTGAAGGTCTTGGGTTCAAGGCAATTCGGTGGCCAGTGGGGCTGTTTTAAAGACTAGAAAAAGGTACTGGGAGAAAGACACCTCAAAATATAGAAGTTGAAATCTTCCTAGACCCTAGCACTGGGCTTGGTACTCAAATATGTGTTCATTGAATAGATTAATGAATGGAGATTAAGGTGTAACTCATTTTTACAGCCCAACCAAAACCTCAATTCAATCCAATAAGTAAGCATTAAGTACTTCAAGTATAATCCATCTTGGGATGTGGCCCTAGTTTTTAAGAAAAATTACCATCTATTTGAATTAAAACAGGACTTACATGTACTAAATGATTAAACAGTAGTATCAAGTCTAAAAAATAAAACACTAGAAAAGCTACATTGAAGTCCTAAATGAAAGAAAAAACAATACAGTTTTTGTGTGTGTGATGACTACAGGGAAAGATGTTGGATACATTTTGAGAAAACTGCAGTGGGAGTTGGCTTGGTGCAAAAGAAAGGAGAAAATGTTCTGAAGAAAAACATAAGCAAAAACTTTTATTTGGTGAGCATGGAGTCTGAAGCATGGATAGCAAAAGGTCCAGTAGGACTGATATGTAAGAGTTAGAAGCACGGGAAAAGGTAAGAGGGAAACAAATTATGGAAGGCCTGGTAGGCCAAGGTGAGTAAGTTAAACTAATTTGATAGGAAAACTAATTTTATAGGAATAGCCTGCCCTTTAAAATTCTTGAATAAGGGTGTTACTTGTCAAAATGCTTTATTGTGGCAAGAAGACAAGGAGACCTTCTAGCAAGAAGATGGGAAAGTTCAATGATGAGGGGAGAGAGACAGACAAAGATGTGGGCATTGGAACAATGTGAATGAACCTGAGAGCTATTTCAAAGGAGAAGTCCAAATGACACTGTTCTTATTCCTTGGAATCTTCTGGAGAAAATCAAACAGTCCCGCAGATTTGGAACCTTTAATAAATTCAAGGATGTCCCAGCTTGGAAAATCACTGTTTCCCAGTCCATACAAGTAGCACTTTCAAACAACTGCCTCTTTTTTCAAGTTTCTTTCCTCACCATGTCCTTGCTCCATAGCCATCTTTGGAGAAAACAGAAGTCATAAAGTGAGAATTCTACCACCTTTTTGCCCTCTACAGATAAACTTAGCTGTGTCCTCACATCTCTTTCACCTAGTAGGTGTATCCATATAACCTGCCCAAAGCTCACCTTTCCACTTTACTATAAGTTCTGTGCACTCAGGGCCCAGCTCTGTCTGTCCCGCTCACCACTGTAGCCTTTGCCTTTAGTACATAGCAGGTATTAACCATTAACACATTGGTTGAATAAAGCTGTACTGTGTATCTCCTTTTCCTTTAAATCCTTTCTCCATTATTTTTTAAAATGAATCTGTAAATTGAGAGCATTTACTTTTTATTTATTTTGGAGAGAGGGAGTAAGGGGGAGAGAGAGAAACATCCATTTGTTGTTCTATGTATTTATGCATTCATCGATTGCTTCTTGTATGTGCCCTGACTGGGGATTGAACCCAGAACCTTGGTGTATTGGGACAATGCTCTAACCAACTGAATTCCCTGGCCAGGACCTCCTTCCTTTATTTTTAACCACTGCTTTTCTACTGACATTTTCCCCTTGGCATATACACATGCTCAAGTATCTTTCATAATGTGGAAACAAAAATTCCACACTTTCCTTCTCAATTGCTTTCTTCCCTTCACAGCTACACTTGTAGTCACCTAAGTTTTTCTGTACCTCTTTCCCCCTTCTTAGCCACTTCTCAGTCATTTTAGTTTTTGCCCCGACAAATCCACTGAGATTGTTCTCATCAGGGTTGCTATTGACCTCCTTGTTACATTCAATGAACAGCAGCTCTTCAGTCTTTATCCCTTTGCCCTCTTTAGGGCATTTGACCCTGTTGAATCCATCTTCTTTGAAATGTTCTTTTTTTTTGGCTCCTGGGTTCTTTCTCTTGACAGAGAGTAGGGACTTAATAAATACATATATTTTAAAATGAATGAATGGCTTCACTTCTATTAATAAGGCCTCTCTCAGCCTTCTCTGACATCTCCTTAAATGTTGATGTTCCCTAGGGTCATGTCCTCAGCCATCTCTTCTAGCTCTACACATCTCATTGGTCAAGCTAATCCATACCAACAGTTACAATAACTACTTATGTGCTGTTTACCATAAAATCTAGCTATTTGAGCTGGGTCTTCCTCCTGAGCCCTAAACTACATATACAATTGCTTATTGAGTACTTCCATTTGGGTTTTTATTAGTGGTATGTACCACTTAGTCTAAAGACAGGAAGCTTGTGTCTTATCTTTGTATCCCCAACACTTAGTCATAGTGCCTGACAAATAGTGAGTAAAGGAAGAAATAAATGCATTAAAGATGTGAACTACCTCCAGGTGTCAGGTTGAGATCTTGTGAGACTGCTTCAAACCACAGTGAACTTTCTCTTCCCAAACTGATAGGAGTACTGAACCTAACCATGATAAAACTTCAGCTAAGCACAGAGGAATAATGTTCCATTCTGAACATTTTCCCAGATAACTGAAGTTTATCCAATTAAGTGCAGACCATTTTCATTTTAACTTTTAAATTAGGGATTATTTTAAAAGATACTAATTTCCTGTGGGTTACATAGGGGAAGGAGCATGATTAGGAGTCATTAAGACATAGGTTAACCTCTGGAGTGTGGCTTTGGATAAACTAATCTCTAAGGCTGAACCTGTCAGCTGAGTGGACACTTTCTTTACCTGCCTCCCTACTTCGAGGGATCAAATAAGATAATGTCGGTGAAGGCCTGGCTGGTGTGGCTCAGTAGATTAAGTGCCAGCTTCTGAACCAAAGTATCGCCTGTTCGATTCCTAATCAGGGCATATGCCTGGGTTGCGGGCCAGGTCCCTGGTAGGTGGTGCCTGAGAGGCAAACACACATCAATGTTTCCCTCTCTTTCTCCCTTCTTTCCCCTCTGTCTAAAAATAAATAAATAAACTCTTTAATTAAACAAACAAACATACTCATTGGAACTGAAACAAAGTAAACCCAAAGGAATCCACACCCAGACACATCATTTTGGAGACAACTGTATTTGAACAACAACAACAAAAAGGGGGTGGGGGGAGATAATGTAGGTGAAATGTTTTGTAAATCCAAAGTGTTTCACACATATTAGATACGATCATTTAACCAGTTTTTCACTTGTTCAGAAGAAACACTGTGAACTTAATTGTCTAGACAAACAGTGAGGACTACTAAGTCTAGAACATATGTACTTAATGCTGTTTGCTCCTCTTCTACATGGCCGAAGATGCTACAGTTTTCAATGGTCTGCTTTTTTGTTTTCCTAGTGTTCCCTTGCTGCGTTAATGTTCATTGTTATCAGTGTTGCTTCTAAAAGCTCCTCTTTACTCTTTTAATTTGCTGCTAATTATATGCTGTGGGTTTGGAGATGATTACTAGACGTGGGTATAGATTAAGAGAAAATAAAAGAAAGACTTCCCCAGGAGTGAAGTAAATGAACATTATTCCATGTGACTGTTATATCTGGTTCTTGAATGTGTTTTGAATTTATTCTTTTAGCAAATATTTGAGCAGTAGTGCCAGGCACTGTGTAGGCACTAAAGCATAGTCCCTGCCCTCATGAAAGTTACAGTCTGGTGAGGAGGTAGGTAATAAAGTCACAATTAAGGTGAAGAGTGACTATTATAATAGGAAACGCAAGCAGTTCTATAGGACCACATATCAGATGTCTCATGTAATTTACGGAGTTATGATGGCTTCACAGAAGTTACGACTTTCCAGCTGAATCCTGCAGGATGAATAGAAATTAACTGGGCAGGGAGGGGTACACATGGGAAGACAGTACCAGGCAGACAGACAGGAAATGGGAAAGTCTAGAGCACAGGAAGAGGTAGAAGGAAAGGCAGAGAGAGAAACTGACCATAGTGAGGAGCAGAGGAACTGAGAATTATAATATAGGTAGAATAGAGTACAAGAGACAGACAAGGGGTGAAGCTGGGGGGGTAAATGGGTAAGCAGTTGGTAGCAGAATTCTGCATGCAGAAGGTATTTACTGTATTTGCATCTTCTTGTATTCTCACTCCCCTTCTTATTTTCCAATTAGATGGTACAGTTCTTTTAATTAAAAAGGACTTCTACTCTTCCTGTGACTTGAGTAGTGCCACCTACTCTTGTCCCCAGAGTGTGGTGTGGTCAGTGAATTGATAGAGCAACTGGAGTAGAATGCCGCCACATTCATTATGAGGTTGAAGTTATTACCTCATAATCTTCTGAAACAATTATTAGAAAAAGCATAGGCTTGAGAATCAAGGCCCTCAGTCTGTCAGTTATCAGCTCTCTAATTGGGGGGCAGGTTATTTAACCTCTTTAAGCCTCGGTCTTTTTAATAGCAGAAAAGGATATCTCAACATTTAATTCATAGAGGTATCAGAGGATTAAATGAGGCTTCTAGCAAAGTGCATAGCTCCTGTTCTCCACCTATCACTTCCTTCCCCCAAACTCTGTAGTCTACTCTCTTCCCTCTGCCCCCACACTTTGCTCCATAAGCATTCCCTCTCCTTTGCATTTTCTAAGCTTCCCTCTCCACTTGCTCGTTTCTCTTAGCCTACAAATGTCCTCAAACTCTCAGCTAAAAATAGTCTACCTCTCAGTCCAGCTCCCTATTCCCTTAAGCTACCTTTCCATTTCTCTTCATCCGTTTACCACCACATTCCTTGAAGGAGTTAACACTTCCATCCACATTGTATCATGGACCCTCAGCTCTGGACCCTGGGCTCAGAGAGGCTGGGGTGAAAAAGAAGTCAAGACCCAATCGGTGTCCTCAAGGAGGAAGACCAGTGGCTTTGGAGTCAGTGGTAGGCTGACTGCCTCGACTTCTGAGCTTCAATTTACCCTTCAACTTTTCACAACCAGCTAACTTTCCAATCCTTCTAGCAGAAGCTAGAACTTCTTTCTCATAAAAATCACCAAATCCCAAGGTCTCATCAGTACTCATCCTGTGCAAGTAATATCATTGATCACTTCTTTCGAAGCATGCCCCTTTCTCAGCTAAAAAGTTTATTTAAGCCACCTTGGCTAGTGTGGCTCAGTGGGTCGAGCACTAGCCTGTGAACCAAAGGGTTGCCAGTTAGATTCCTAGTCAGGGCACATGCCTGGGTTGCAGGCCAGATCCCCAGTTGGGGGCATGTGAGAGGCAACCACACATTGATGTTTCTGTCCCTTTCTTTCTCCCTTCCTTCCTCTCTCTCTAAAAATAATAACATCATTAAAGAAAAGTTGATTTGAAGTTTCTACCAGGGGCATTCAACCCACGGCCTGCGGGCTGCATGCAGCCTAGGATGGCTATGAAATGCAGCCCAACACAAAATTGTAAATTTACTTAAAACCTTTTTCTTTTTGCTCATCAGTTTTCGTTAGTGTTTGTGTATTTAATGTGTGGCCCAAGACAACTTTTCTTCTTCCAGTGTGGCCCAGAGATGCCAAGTGGTTGGATGCCCCTGCTTTCCACTGAGGTAAGGACTTCGCTTTCATAACCAAAAACCTGTAATGCCTATAGGAAAAGTCTGAAGTCTTGAGCAAGTCTTTTAATGCCTTCTGTAATCTGGTCTTTTCCTTTCTTCACTTCTCTCTCAAAGAACCTATGCTACAGACAAACAGAATAAATCACCACTTCCTGAGTATGCCCTGTATCATCTTTATTTCCTGTATGACTTTTGTTTATCCCTACCATCTGGGAAGCACTTCTTCCTCATATCTATTAAATAGTTAAATCCATTCTTCTCAGCCTGCCTTTCAGTTTTTATCAAAAATATCTTAGCCCTGGCCAGTGAGGCTCAGTTGGTTGGAGAGCTGTCCCATAGCCGACAGGTCAGATGATTTCTGGTCAGGGTAAATGCCCAGGTTGCAGTCGATCTCCTGGCTGGGCGCATGTGAGAAGGCAACACATCAATGTTTCTCTCACATCGATGCTGCTCTCTCTCCCCCTCTTCCTCTCTCTCTAAAGAAATAAAAAAATTTCCTTGGGTGAAGATTTAAAAAAATATCAAACCAGAAAGAAGGATAATTGTAAAAAAAAAATCATCACCATCATCTAAATTTCTCTCAATTCTTTAAAATTTTATTAAAGCTAATTACATCATTTCACTTGTATTATAGTTATCTATGCCAATCTCCCTGACCAGGCTGGGATTCTTAATGGTAAATAGTTTTTTTTTGCCTCATTCAGGAACTCTGACTTACCTTCATTTTTAATAGCGTTGGCAGCTACAATGTACATTAAATAGGCTTGTTTCCTCCAGGGGTTCAATGCTGTGCTGACACCTGCTGGTCACATATGGTTCAGCAGCCCAGGCCTGAGCACCTTCCTCTCTCCAATGTTAAGGACAGTCTGTGCCACCCTAACCCTGACAGTCACTGAAAGCATGTGCTCGTGGACACAGCACCACCCTTCCCTGGAGACTACAGGAACACACTCAGACCTGTTGGTCTCTTGCTTGCCTCTGGCATCTCCATCTTAAGCTCAGTTCAGTCTTCAGAACTTTCCCCACTGACCCTCAACCCAGCCATTTGTACTTAGCCTTTCCGGTAACAGAAATATAAAAACAAGAGTTCCAAGAAATTGGGCAGCAAGGAAAGAAACAGGTAGACAAACAATTTGAGAACAGGGTGTTTATGACCTTCCACCTCACCTCAAAGAACCTAGACTATTTCCTACAGAGTGCTATTCCTTTTGACCTATGTTATATTTCTAAGAGGCTCGTGGGCGATAGACCTTGGTGACAGTCTGAAGAACCGGAGGTTCATCAGAGTAGGTAGGCGGGGCTTGCGGGGTGGGGCCAGGCCAAAGGCCTCTCACTTAGGAGCTTCTCCATTCTGCCAACTCTCCGGGAACATCCAAGGGAAGACTGGCACCCAGTGTGCAGCAGGTGAGGGACCAGCAATGACAGAGGGTAGGCTTTAGGGGCGATGGTAGCAGAAGGGTCCTGGCTCTGTCAGCCTGACCTTTCCATATTGTGAAACTAACTTGATAGCATTCTTGGGTCCCCAGTGCAGAGGTCCAACTCAGTTTTCTGTTTTCCCTGGGGCACCGCAGCCTCAGGAAGGCAGACATGGCTTGGGATGGGTGGGGGCACAGTGGGGGTAGGGCTGAGGCGGGGGGGGGGGGAGGTGGATATGTGACCGAGCACTGATAAATGCAAGGAAATCTTAGAAGGTATGGAGGTAAATGTAAGGGCCAGAGGGAAAGTATGGCCGGAGGATCGTAGGGCAGAACCCAGACAACAGAAAAAGGGAGACTGAACCAGGGGGAGAGGGAGAGGACAGCAGACCAAATGTGAGATGAGAACGGGGACAACCAAGAGCGGGGTAACAGGAAGGCCAAGGAGGAAGGAAGGCTCAAATGGAGCAATCTCCTTTCCTGATTGCAGAACATGGTTCAGAAAGCCCCAGACAAAGCAAGGTTCTAGGTTCCCTTTGGACTGGTTTAGCTGGGGAAGAAAGCCCCCTAGGGACCCATCTCGCCTTACTCTTCAGACTCCCATTTTGGTTTGGGGGAGAGGGCGAGGCTGCTCCTCACTGCGGTCACAGCCACATCCTGCAGAGGAGGGGAGGGGGAAGTATGAAGCAAAACAACCAGAAGAATCGTAGGCAAAGACCACGGGGAGAGAACCCTGGACATATGCGGCTGATGGGCCACCAGGAGGGTCCCCAGTTCAGCCCCAGAAGACATTAAACCTCTAGTACTGCCTGCCCCCTGCTGAGGTGCTTGTTTCCCATGCTTCCTCAGTGTACGTCCACAGCAGTGACAGCATTCCAAGGAACAGAGTTTCTTCGGATTATTTGGTTTGAAGCCCATTTTTATCATTTGCTAGTGACTTTGGCCAAGTTGCTTAATGCTGCTTAGCTTCGGTTTTCTCATTGCGAAATGGGGATATCTACCTTACAAGCAGTTGGGAAGACTGAGATAATTCACATAAAGCACTTGGTACATTGTAGCTTCTCAATAAATGTTAATTTTATCAAGACTTCCAGGACCCCCATATTTCTCATTTATTTAAAGGCAATACATTACACTAGCTGGCATGGGCATATGGAGTCAGAAAAATAGCTGTGTTTGACCTTGGGTAAATTATTTAATGTAAGCCTCACTTTGCTCAGCTATAAAACAAAGATAGTTGATACGTATATTTCACGGATGCATGGTACATGGTCAGTGTCCAAAAATGGTAGCTGGGAGAATTACTTGCCAGGTAAGCCTTCTTTCCTGCTGTAGCAAGAAGCCTACTTCCCCTTAAAACCTAGCTTGTTGTGGGGGGGTACCCTCATTCCTCCAGCCACAGCTATAGCTGCTCCTCTGGGCTGCTCTGGAGATCAAGATTTCTTATAATACTAAAGAAGAAAAATAGGAAGAAGGCAGAGGGGACTGAGGGGCCCAGGGGGAAACAGATGACCAGATGATGATGAGATAGAAACCAAGAGACAGAAAGGGGAAAAGCCATTTCTTGCTTTCTAAGGAAGCCTGTGGCCTTTTTTCTGATTGACCACATATCCCCACCCCCATCCTCTTCTCCAGGAGCCATGGAGTCCTTCAGCTCAAAGAGTCTGGCACTGCAAGCGGAGAAGAAGCTACTGAGTAAGATGGCAGGTCGGTCTGTGGCTCATCTCTTCATCGATGAGACAAGCAGTGAGGTGCTGGATGAGCTCTACCGGGTGTCCAAAGAGTACACACATAGCCGGCCCCAAGCCCAGCGGGTTATCAAGGACCTCATCAAGGTGGCTGTCAAGGTGGCCGTGCTGCACCGCAGCGGGTGCTTTGGCCCCAGTGAGCTGGCCCTGGCCGCCAGCTTTCGCCAAAAGCTGCGGCAGGGCGCCATGACAGCACTCAGCTTTGGAGAGGTGGACTTCACCTTCGAGGCTGCCGTGCTGGCTGGCCTGCTGACCGAGTGCCGGGACATGCTGCTGGAGCTGGTGCAGCACCACCTTACACCTAAGTCACACAACCGCATCCGCCACGTGTTCGATCACTTCTCCGACCCGGGCCTGCTCACGGCTCTCTACGGGCCTGACTTCACTCAGCACCTTGGCAAGATCTGTGATGGGCTCAGAAAGCTGCTGGATGAAGGGAAGCTCTGAGAGCCGCGAACCCAGCACATTCCACCCTGACAAGATGGTTGGCTGAGAAAACAACAGATAATGGGCTTTCTAACTCTGCTCATCTGCACTAACACTTTTCAGTCCTCAGGCTTCAGTCATCCCCAAGAGTGCTTTTGACTCTGAGACCACCTCACCCCAAACTGCTGGTGGAGAAGAAGCAATGCTGAGGGTTTAGGCCTTTCTCCCACCCCAGCCCCAGGGCAGGGAACAAAGCTCTCCAAAAAGATGAAGTGAAACTTGGATCTCTTATTTCCTCCCGTAAGGGATGTTTGAAACAGGGAAGCCCCTCTCCTATGAACCAGGGGAAGAGGACGGAGTCCATTTAACCCCTCTGGGGACACTAAAGACAGGTGGGGGAGGGGGCCCTTTGAGACATCCTAGACCTCCAGCTCCAGGCAGAGCCAGGACAGATACCAGGGGCTCTGTTCCAGAGAACAGGAAGAGGGGGTGGGGGCGGGAGAGAGTCACATGGGAAATAAAACTACTAAAACATGCACAGGGCTCAGTGTTTAATCTCTCCAGCTTCTTATATCTTATGATCATCACAGAGGTATATAAACACCACTTATCTCACCACTCAGGCATACATCCAGTATCATTGGGGTTCTCTTGCCTACTTCTGTTTAAGAAACTCAGAAGCACTGTGCCATAGATCAACGCTACAAATTGCAAATAAATACGCAGCGAGGAGCAAGGCATAGACTGACAGGCTCTGGTGGGGAGGGGGCATAACAGGAAGATTCCCACAACTGTCCTCCCCTTCAAACTCCAGGGCACTTCTTCCATCCCTTAGCCTCACACAGGCTGAACAGAGGAGCAGGTTAGAAGGGTGAACTGGGGAGTTCCGGTACCTATATCACTGCTTTTTTTCCTCAGAGCAAAGGCTGTGAAAAAATCATAGTGAACTAGTCAGTCAAGACTGAGCCCAAATTCTTTACTTTGAAATTGAAGAAAAGGCCTGGCACAGCCTCCCGCTCCTGTGATGGGCTTGATCACTGACTGCCCCATCCTCAACAGGCTTGGCTAAGACGGTGAAGAAGGTGGGCAGCCGGCAGTCCCTGGCTCACTGTTCCCAGGCTTACCTCACACCAGGGCTATAAAAAACTCATTTTTCAGCTAAGAGTGGGAAAGAATAAAATACAGCAAATAAATATTACTTCAGTATAGCACCAAATAAATTAGGCAGCATAGTTGAAGATGGGGAGGAAGTTGGGGGCTGGGGGCGTCCCTGCCTTCCTGCTCTAAGGCCAAGGAATGGTGAAAGGCATGGGAAAGGCAGCAGGGATGTAAAAAGAACTTTCTGAATCTAAAGGACACCTCTAGATTCAGCCCCAGAACGGAGAAGGGGTCTATTCCCCAACCCTACTCTTGCCAATCAAAACTGCTCCAGGGCGAGGATCACGTGATGGACAAGGAGGCTGGGCAGGAGTGAGGGAGGCGGGCTGGGAAGCCATGTTCTTGAGCCTCACCTCAGGCTCCTTTCCCCCTCAAGTTGCTCTTTCACCATCTTGCTTCTCTCAGTCAGCTCTGGGGACATCAGAGTTTGAAGATTTCGTCCTCCTGGTCTCGAAGTGTCTGGGTTCGAGAGGTCCGGGTCAGCGGCACGGGACCTAGGACTGCTCGTTGCTGCATCCCAGGGGAGCTCCGGCGAGGACCTGGGCCCTCCCCAGGTAACCTACAAGTGAAGAAAGGGGAGAAAGAGTGACAGGTCAAGGGAAGAACCCAGAATGGGCCACATGAAAAAGTACACGGGAAGCTGTCGTCCTTTCCTAATATATCTGAGCGGGCTGGTCTAAGATGGAGTTTCAATATCCTCTGGATAAATTCTAACCTTACTACTCCTTCATGGATCATCAGAGCAGTAAGAGCAGCCAACTATTTAATTCCAGGGAGAACACAGAACCGTCTCCTACTGCCTCTACCCATTCCAGCAGCCATCGGCTCTGCTCATTGTCTTGGGGCCACCTAGAGAAAAGGATTCATCCTGCTTCTGCTGACACTGTGTTTACTTATTTGTGCATCTGCTCAGGTAAAGCTGGAAGAATGGTGAAGTGTATGAAGGGGTTTAAAAAGAACCATCAAGACTCACCCACTTTCCCCTTTTTTCAGCTTCTGGGCAGCAGCCTTCTTTGACAGGCTGATCTGTGAATCAAGCTTCTTAAGGAAATCAGAGGCAGAGAGGTCATGGATGGGAGTGGGGAGTTCCTGGCTAGGTGTGGGGAGGACTTCACCATTGGCACGTCCTGGACCTGTCTCTTGTTTCTTCCTCCCTGGTGAGTGTGGCAAGCCTTCATCCTTACTTGGCTGTATCTCTTCCTCTCTATCTTTCTCTTCCTCAGAATCCAAACCATTGAAGAGGTCTCTGGGCTCTGTCAGGATGGGGATGTAGAGGGTTTTCTTCAGGAAGATGGAGTCATTAGTATAAAGGCGGTTTGCACGCTTAATCTGTTCCATCTTAAAAAAAACAGTCACCACAATTAATGACAGTAATAATGATAAATCTAATATTTGTATAGCATCTAATGACTTTAAAAGTGATTGTACAGAGTCTTATCTGACCCTATAACAGCCAAGGTAAAGTACGAAGAGCTAATATCATTCCTATTTTATTGATCAGTGATTTTCATGCCTTTTGGACTTAGGACCCTCTTATATTTTAAAAAATGATTGAGGAAAAAGGCTTTTTTTTTTTAAATGTGGATTAGAGCTATCAATATTTAAGGTACTATAAATTGAAACTGAAATTGTTTAAAAATATGTATTTGAAAAATAATAAACCCATTACAACTTAACAAATATTTTAATGAAAAATAACTATATTCTACAACAAAAAAATGCAGCAAGAAAGGCACTGTTTTACAGTTTTGCAAATATCTGACTTAACAGAAGACAAAAGGATTCTCGTATCTGTCTCTACATTCAATCTCTTACAATATAACATGTCATGCAGCCTCTTGAAAACTCAGTACACTTGTGAGAATGAGAATGAAAAAGGCAAATAAAATCTCATTATTACCAGGAAAAGAGTCTTGACCTTGTGCTCCCTCAAGAGTTCCAGAGACACCCTAGAGGGCCCTGGACCTCACTTTGAGAACTTCTATTAAAGATGAAGGAACTGAGGCTCAGAGAGGTTAAGTTACTTGCCTAAGATTATCTAGCAAGTTAATGACAGACCTAGGGCCTTTTTACTCCTTCTGGGAATCCTTTCCACACTACAATATTAGTAATTTCATTGGCCAAATATTTATTTAGTACCCACTGATTCATCACTGAACATGGTGACTGGCATCACCATCTATCTACCTGCTCCCAAGGTAGAAATATCAATGTCACCCTTAACTTTTCTTTCATCACCCACAGACAAGTAGTCAAGAAAAGTACTGCAAAAATCCCTCTCCTATCTGGTTTCATCTTTACTGCCATCACTTTAGAATAACTCTTAATATTTCTCATCTCAGTACTGAAAGTTTAACTGGTCTCTCTCTCTCCATTTCTATTCATTCTTCACCCTGCTGACGTCCATCTTTCTTAAATAATTAATCCAATCAACCCATTACCCTACTTATATACCTCCTATGACTCCTCATTGGCTCAGATAAAATCCACATTAGCATTCAAAGGCATCCTTAATCTAGCTCCCACAATATCTAACCTCATCTCTCTTCTGCCCTCCTGTACATTTTGCCATCATGAACTTCTAATTTTTCTTTGAACATTTCATGATCTTTCATACTCTAGTGCCTTTATCTGCCTACAATGCTTCTCCACTATCCCCTTCTCTGCCTGAAAAACTTCTACTTACCAACTCTCTCCCCCTCTGTGTTACCTTCTTCAAGGCTGCCATACTATAAATACCAGTGTAATAATACCTACCCTATTGTATTGTTATTTACCTCTTTGCATATTTGCTCAAACTCTGTGAGTCCTTTAAAGGCAGGGATGATGACTTGCTGTCTCTGAATCCCTAAGGCACTCCTCAGCATGGCACAAACTTGGCACACAGCACAGGCTCATTAATGCTTTATGAATAAACAAACTAGATAATAAAATATAGAAACCACAGATATAGTATATAAGTACTTTATTATTAGAGTCCAGGCAGCCAATTTTACTAAAAATTCATTCCATATGGCATCAGTTTGGGAAATCATATTTCTTATATTTGTCAAATATCAAAGCTATTTCCACCCTGGGGCGAGACTATTATAATAATAAACTTGACTAATAAAATCTTACACTATGATGTGTTTAAAAATAAAACCAGATTAAACTGAACAATAAAAAAGTTAAAATTGGCTTTGTTTTGTACTTTTACTATGCCAAGTGCTTTATGCTATTAATTTTATTTTGCCTACATAATATCCTAGGTCCCTTCTAGCTCCAGGATGTTATGAACCTGAAAATTTTCTGTGGCTTTCATTAGTTCCTAGAAGTACCATATATGGGGACATCATCCCACTCTTACAAAGGATGCAACCGAGGCCAAAGTCCAGAGGAATCTTAGGCCATCTTTACAAGCTACGAAGGGCTTTAGAATCTAGTTACTTTAACAAAGTAGTACCAAGTAAGGATTTTAGAATGAGACGACCTGGTCTGAATCCTAGCTCTACTAATAAGACTAGTTGTGTAGTCTATGGCAAGTTACTTCCCTAAGCCTGTTTCCTATCTTTAAATGGGAATAGTTACACCCACCTACTTAATAAAGTCTTGTGAAGATCATACAAGATAATATTTAGAGCATGGCACTTTCTAAGTGTTCTTTATATGCTGCATAGGTAACAATTTAGTTGATTATCATTATTTAATAAATATCCCTCATTTTACAAATAGTGAGGAAACTGAGGCCCCAGACAGGGGAAGTGACTTATACAGTCATTCAGCTTGCAAGCAGCAGCATGAGGCCAGAACCTAGACTTCTCCTTCACTAGACTAGATGGTTTTCCTGTACCCAGAAAGGTACAGGGCTGTAGGAAAACCTCAATGAATAAATAATTGTTGATTCACTAGTAGCACAGGTCCCCTCTCTGCACAGCTTCTGAGTCTATGCTGGGATGGAAGGGCTGCTCAGTACTTTCATACTGACTTCCTTTGTTTCGACCATGCTTTCCTGAACTATATGCAGAAATCTTCATTTATTTAAAAAAAAAAATCAATTAACCTTTTATAGGCTGGGGACTACACCAGACTCTAGAGATATAAAATTCAAAGAAAATAGCTATGTCCCTTAAGGAGAGTATAGGCTATTGGAAAGACAAAGATGTTAAAAGTGTAAACAAGTGGACTACATAGGTTTAAAGAGTCTTTCAAAGCCCTTCCTGATGGCTCCCTCGAAATCTGCACTGATGTCCACCCCTAACCCCTTCCAAATAAAATTAATCTTCTTTTCTGGTTTCCTATCCTTTGTTAATACCTCTACAAACTCACCACATTCTGTCACCTACAATCATTATTTGTGTCCCTGTTCATTTCTCACTAGACTGTAAAATATATGAGGGCAGTAACTACACATTTTATTTATGTTTCCATCTCCCAAGATGGCTATCAGAGTGCTTTAAACCTACCACGCATAAACATGTTGGCTAAATTCAACAGGATATGGAAAAAAGAAAAACCCTCATCAACTTTACTGCAACATATGTTTCTACCTATCACATATACCCTATCATGATCTGAAAGGCTTGGTGTAGAAAGACCCTTGGTAAGAAGAAGGCAGGTGATTGAGTAGAAAAAAAGGAACAAGGAGAGATGGTCATTTTAGCAAGTTAGAACTAAAAACCAGCTCTCCATGATTTGCTGTAAATTTTTAATCATTCTCAATTTTAAAAGTTCTGTGTGGCTAACAGTGCAGACTTTGGAGTCTGACAGACTTGTTTGACTTTTCCGCTCTAATGCTCACTAGTTATTTGACCTTGGTCAAATTGGTGAACCAGTCTAAGTCTCAGTTTCTTCATCTGTAAAAAGGGAAAACAATTGTATTCTCATAGGGATGTGAGGATCAAATTGGGCTAATGTATGTAAAGTCCCTATCATAGTGACCAGCATAATAAAAGGGAGCTGCTCTTCACTGGGATAAGATTTGTACCAACCAGACGGTGCAAATGGGAAAAAAACCCAAAAAGGTAAAGATGGATCGGATAACACAACACAATCAGGAAAATTTCAGAGGAAATGGCCTAGAAGGGCCACTACATTCTCCTGAGGAATAAATCTTTTTTAACTGGTTGTTCACATCCCAAACCTGGAAGACTCACCGTCACCCCGTATTTGAGTGCCAGTCCAGCCAGGGTGTCTCCGGGCGCCAGCTGATGCTCCAGACGTCTTTCCCTCACTGGAGAGCAAGCGGACTGCACCAGGCTTCCATAAGAACGAGCCCGGCCCCCCTGAAGCAGTCCTGACCCCCCGAGGGGATCCTGTCTAGAGGGAGAAGCCATCTCTTCACCCTGCCGGCAGCTGGGTTTACAAATGCGGGACGCCAGGCCAACTGACCTACCGGTGACAGACCCGGGGACTGGGAACGGATAACCAGGGGATTCCTCTCCCTTTCTGTATTCTTCCCCAAGTCTCCCCCAGCACTACACACCCCTCTCCCCCGACGCTTCTCCTCCCTCCAAAACCCCTTTCCCACAAATCTGCACTTTTAGTATTCAGCCTCTACCTAGTCTCTCTAGTAACCCTCCGACTTTTGACCCTCTACAACTCGCGACACTGACCTCTGACCCTTGAACCCTAGACACTTTTCTCAACATTCGGCTCAATTTGCTCCTAAGTCCCGCAGCCGGGCCTCCGGCCGCCCTACACCCCGGTTCCGCCTCGTCCTGGGTCTGGCCCTCTCCGGAGGGGAACAAATCAGGCCCACCTAGGTGTCGACAAAGCGCGTAGTGATTGGGAGAGTTTGAAGTACACCTTCCACTCAGAGATCCTCAGAGGCCCACTCCGCATCAAGTGAGTCACATCCTCAAATTCGGGTTTTACATCTATCCCTCCAAATGCCTCGACTATGACAAGATGCAAGGCCCTGAATCCAGCCGGACAGCAAGCTCTTTGCTAAAAGACTTCATTTCCCAAAAGGCTACGCGTCTGAGGGGTCGCAGGGGACCATAGGAAATGCAGTCCCCCTTCCGTGGGCAGGAGGCCGGCTTTCGGGGCCGCGCAGTGCGTTCCTGAAAGCGCGTCCCCGGAAGTAAGGAGGCCAACCGGAAAGAGACCAGAGGGAAGGAGACGCCCCATTCTTGCTACGGTAGCCTGAAAGGAGCGGGGAAGCCTGTGCGATAGAATGTGTTATTTCTGGGATTCACAGTCGTGATGTCTTTCAAGAGAGACGGGGACGATTGGAGTCAACTCAATGTGCTCAAAGTAAGCGCGAGAGGGGAGCGTCTAGAGCAGCTTCCGCTGCCCTCTGAAGGCCGTGGAGAAGTTGTTTTGTTGCTGTAGCAACAAAATCGGGGGGCGGGAGAAAATCAGGCGACTAGTGCTTGGATGTAAGTTTTCTTCCCTGCCATCTCCCTTCTACCCCTTTCTCCTATTCCGCTGATCTGTCCGGACTTCTTCCCCTTCCCTCTGCAGAAGCGAAGAGTCGGAGACCTGCTGGCCAGTTACATACCAGAGGATGAGGCGCTGATGCTACGGGATGGACGGTGAGGTCGAAGAGTGGATCAAGCCTGAGGGTTCTGAGATTAGAGGCTCAATAAACTTGTTAAGGAGGAGAGCGGGAGTACCTGGCATTTTTTTGGTGGGGAGTGAGGGACAGGGATGTGGGTCGCGGAGATTGGGAAAGTTGAGAATTGGGCTTTGGAAAGGACTGCTAGGACAGGGTGGGACCTACGGCAGAGACCCCACACCCCGGGGACTATTTATCTTCTCTCCAGCTTTGCTTGTGCCATTTGTCCCCACCGACCTGTACTGGACACCCTCACCATGCTGACTGCCCACCGTGCAGGCAAGAAACATCTGTCTAGTAAGTTTACAGGAAGAAAGATGATAGAGAATAAACCCTTAAAATGTATTTAGAGCACTCATCGTGCTCTGCTTTTAATTCTCTTAACTTTCTTCTCAGGCCTGCAGCTTTTCTATGGCAAGAAGCAGCCAGGGAAGGGAATGGAGCAGAATCCAAGACAGCAGAATGAATTGGAGAGAGAAGAGACCAAAGCAGAGGTAATCAGAGGTGGAAGGGTGTGTTCCAGGCAAGATGGTGCTGCATATCTTAGGCTTGAAGGGCCTTGGCTTCTAGAAAGAAGTGCTGACACTGTCTTCCTTCTCCATACCAGGCTCCTCTGTTAACCCAGACTCGACGTATCACCCAGAATGCTCTGCACAGAGCTCCTCACTATAACAGTTGCTGTCGCAGGAAGTACAGGACCGTGAGATGTGAAAATCAGGGGTAGGTGGGGACAAAAAAGTAGGTACATGGTTCTTAAGTTATTGTTTTCCAGTTTGTATTCTCGGGAATACTAGTGTTCTGGAGATGTTAACTGGTATTTCAGGAAAAAGATAATTTTGTAATTTAAAAGAAGTTTGGCAAATGACACTTAGTAGGATGACAAAGTAGAAGACCCTTTTTTTTTTTTTTTTTAAGATTTTCTTTATTTATTTTTCACAGGGAGGGGAAGGTAGGGAGAAAGAGAGGGAGAGAAACATCAGTGGGAGCGAAACATCCGCAGCTGCCTCTCTCTTGCCCCCAACTGGGGACCTGGCCCACAACCCAGGCATGTGCCCTGACTGGGACTCAAACCAGTGACCTTTCCGTTTGCAGGCTGGTGCTGTATCCACTGAGCCACACCAGCCAGGGCAGGATGCTTTTTTAAATCCTCAACTGAAGATATATTTATTGATTCTTTTTAGAGAGAAGGGAGAGAGCGAGAGAAACATTAATGTGAGAGGAGCATTTATTGGTTGCCTCTGCTATGTTCCCCGCCTGGCAATCTACTGGGAATCAGCAACTGTCTCATCCCCTGCACCTATGAGCCCCATGAACCTGCAACCTTTAGGTGTATGGAACGACCACCCAGTCAGGGCCGAAGTAGAATACTTTAAAAATATATGTTTATTGATTTTTTTTAGAGAGAGAGGAAAACATCAATGTGAAAAAACATTGATAGGTTGCCTCCTGTAAGTGCCCTGACAGAGCATCGAACTTGAAACCTAGGTATGTGCCCTGACTGGAAATCGAACCCCTAACCTTTTGGTGAATGGGCTGATGCTCCAACGAACTGAGCCACACCAGCAAGGACTAAAGTAGGATGCTTTTGAAGAATAGTAACATTAGTATATTTTAAGAGCTCTACGAAGTCTTAAGATAAAAGACTTTAGAATTTTAATCTAGCCTTTCCTAAATTAATTTGATTTGGAAAGCCTTTTTATGCAGGACACAATATCTTGAGGAATGCAGTTTAGGAAATACTGCTTTGAGTTGGGAGTCACAGGAGAGATGGTGCTTTGCTTTACTGCTTTGACAGATTGTGATTCTTCTCTACTCAGACCAGAAGCACCTCGTCCCCCTGTTTTGCCTTCCCCTTTGCCGCCCCTAGACGTTGAACTTCAAAGTGGGAAGACCAGTAGGGACCCTGAGCCTGGGGCTGGCCCACAGGCCAAGGAGTCAGCAACTGTCTCATCGCCTGCACCTATGAGCCCCACGAGAAGACGAGCCCTGGAGCATTACCTCACCCTTCGAAGGTGAGTATGCAGAATCACTTTCCCCTTTTTTCTATGACCCACCCCACTTTGAAACCTTCTTGTTTTTTCTTGTCCCAGTGAATTCTCAATAAACCTTTCCTGACCAGTTCTATTTTCTCTGATGTTTCCAGCTCTGGATGGATTCCAGATGGACAAGGTCGATGGGTAAAAGATGAAAATGTTGAGTTTGACTCTGATGAGGAGGAACCTCCTGATCTCCCCCTGGACTGACACCCTCTTTCCCCATTTAATTCACAAATAAACTTCAGTGGGCGCTGGGAGCCTAACTTTCCTCAAGTCTGGTTCCTTGTCCTACTTTAGAATTTCAGACGTGTTCCTTCTCAAACTGGCCAGTCCTTCCCTGCAATGTACATACGCAGCTCCCCATACTTCCAGCCCCTCCCCCACCTTCTACCAAAGTCATGCCAAGCGTCAGCTGCATGCAGCCCAGTGCCCTATTAATAAGTCTGTCAGAAGGAGGTCTTTGCCCTTCATGGTGTCTGCCTTCTCTCCTACCTCTACTCAAAGTCCTTTCCTCCTTCAAATCACAGGGTTGTGGATAGAAACGGACGGGGAAAGGTCTGGCCACATCTGGAAACAGGACTGAGGCTAAGTATCCTGTGAAAGTAGAAGAGACTAAAGGCATTGGCAGGGTTATGGGGAACACCAAGGGAGGGAGCTCCCCCACCTTTTCCTAGTAACTTGAACCTCCCTGCCTGTTGATCCCCAGAGTATAAATAATCCCCTGATGAACTGGCAGTAACCCTTGGGTGTTAGCGCCAAGACTTCCACCCCAAAGCCCAAGGCAGGAGGCAGACAGAGTGGACAGAAGGACCTTTATTTACAGGAAAGGGAGACAGATGAGGATTTAAGCATTCAGGGCTCCCAGCTGTTGATGGTAAAGGCAAAGGTAGTGTTATCTCTTTTTTTGCTGGCGACCTATAAAGGAGGAAAAATAAACACAAGTTTTGTTCCATCTCTTGCTTTCTGCAAAGGTGGTCATCTCCTTCCCAGTTCATTGGCTAGACTTGTAAAGCGGTAATGTCTTAGGCCACCAAACATGCTCACGCCACATTAAGAAAAGAAAATAAGAAATGACACAACAAAAATACTATGCTTCCAAATAGGCATGTCTAGCTTCCTTTCCACTTTTCTGCAGGTATATATTTGGGGCAGGGGACTTTGCTCTCTACTCCTGGACCACTTCTTGGATTCGAACTACTCATGTGAATATTGCTCTGACAGCACTCCCGGCTGTTACTAAGTCCCCTTTAGGACTATCCATCAGCTTCTGCACCCACTTGACCCTCCCAACACCATGTCTGCAGTTACTCACGTAGTTCATTGTTCCGGGTCATGGCCTGGGCTGCCCGCGCTCGTGGCCCCTGCTGTGTAAAATGGTAGCCGAAGCGCACGATGGAGGGACACTGTTCGAGCACGGTGGCCATCTCCATCTCCACTGCGTCACCAGGCCACTGGCGCTGGGAGGGAGAGATGAAAGCTGTCAGCTACTCTCTCTGGGCTGTTCACTGTTCCAGACCTCCCACCCTTTGGGAGGTCAAAGAGGCTTGTTTCTCTCGCGTGGGTGATGAGAGGTGCTGGTTTAGCTGCCTTCATAGAGACAATGAAGAGCAATCAACAAAATCAGATGAGATCCTGACCCAGTGGCTGGGCTGCCTCAGGGAAGAGACTCAGTAAGAGTTAGCTGAATGCAAAGCCCACAGGAAGGAAATGCTGACCTGGTTGTCTACACGGAGCTCAGTGAGTGTGGCATTTTCCCGAACTGCCTTCAGCACAGCCATGAGCCCTGTGCTGCTAATGAAGTTGGATTCAATGTTCAGGCTCTGGAGGCTACGATTCTCACGCAACATGTCAGCCACCGCCTGGGTAGTAGGGACTTGGGTTAGGATTAGGGGACAGTTTCAGAGATGACTGAGGAGAGAGAACAGGAGCAAGAGGGAAACACAGCTCTCTGAGATGAGTCCTTGAGGAGCTATAGGTGGGGCTAGAGGGAGATGGAAGTCAGGACGGGTAGTAGGGGAAGCAGGGAGGTTAAGTGTGTGGTAGAGTTGCGGGTGGTAGAGAGGATTGTGGCTCTTTGGGACGATGATCAGAGGGTTTCAGAGCTGTGAGCCTCAGGACAGGGTAGGAGTCTCCATCAGGACTACCCAAAGAGCATGAGGGGCACAGCACCCCCCGCACAACCCTGTATGACAGCCCTGCCAGGGAGGCATGTCAGGTTACGGGGAGAGGGCTAGGGACGTCAACCAGCCTTACATTGGCAATCGGGTCACCACTCTTTGTGGCCACCAGACTGAGGCTCTGGACATGGGTATTTGTCTTCATGGCCTCACACAGTTCGGTTAGCTTGGGTATTGGGATGTCCTGTTACAGGGGAATAGGAGGAGATGGTGGGCTAAGGAACTCACATGTCAGCACTTACCCAAGTGGTGGTGTTTGGAGGATGGGAGTCAAATACCTGTATATTATTGAGGTTCACTTCCTCCAGCTCCTTGTCATTGCTTTGAACACGCTTTAGTATCTCCTCGATGTTTGTGGGATTTGGGGGCTCGTCTGGCACAGGCTTATACTTGTCAGGCTGCACCACACCTGTGGGTGAGGGCAGGAAGGAAACCCCACGTCCCCCACAACCTCCTCCCTGTTGGTTCTCTTTTCACTTCTGCACATGTCCTCTCCCCAATTCACCTGTTTCATCCTTTGCTACCTTTCCTCAGACTCTGGGTCTGCCCGCCAAGAGCCCTGGGGCCCTGCTCCCAAACACACTCACTGCTAATGCCTTCGGTGTTACAGATTTCTCCGCTGCAGAGGGCATCATAGTATTGCTTGTTGCTCATCAGTGTGTACATGCCCAGGATTGCTGGACAGAGGAAGCAGAGGGGGGACACGGAATGAGAAGAAGGGATTTGTTCCAAGCCACCCCTCCCACTTCGTTCCGACTCTTGCATTTTTTAAGTTTGACCTCTTCTACTCTTCCAAAGAGGTTCCCCTCCCTTGGCCCCAGGGGTCCCTTTCTGTAAACTGCTTAAGGCAGGGGTTTTTTAAACACCAAGAAAGGGCTAAAGGAAGGCCCCTAAGGAGCCAATAGAGGGTGAGGAGGTCTGTCAGACTTCCTCCTGTTTTAGCCAGAATCGTTCCACTTTTATTTGTTTTATAATCTCTGTAAAAATGCCCTTGAGATTTTAACTTATTTTAAAAAAAGCAAACAAGTGACTAACATAAATAACAAAAAAACCACTACCTGAGGCTTTCTCAAACACTCTTTTGGTTTAGGGCCTTCCGCACTAATCCCATGCCATGAATAGGACCCTCTGCCCCTGGCCTTTCCACCCTCCTCAGCTTCCCACAGCTGCTCACCTGCAATATCACACATCTCAGCATCTGTGGCATTGGCCAGTGCCTGCTCCAGCTCAGGCTCCAGAGTGATCTGCTCCTCTGGTGGAATTTCCCTTTTGGGTTGAATATAGGGTTTCCCTGATGGGGAAGGAAGCATGATTCAGGTAAAGGTCATTTCTCCTAAGATCCTGGCCTCCAGCTTCCTTTCCTTCTCCAGGAGGTTTTGGAGTGCTGGGTCACTAGGGGACAACAGAAAGCCTGAATCCTCTACAAGCTCAGGGCTCCTGAGTTCCCTGATCTTTTTTGTAAGAGCTGAAGAGTACAAGCTCGCATGCAGGTATCAGGGCAGCAGAGTTCCTGGGCAGCTAGGAGCTGGCAGGGAAGCTGGAGGGGGAAGATGTGAGAGAGCCATTTGTGTTCTGGGAGACACGGATGGCAGGGTCTCCATACCCTTCTTCTCGCCTGTGAAGGGCACCAAGTCATCTCGCTCTTTGACCTCTAGTGCCTGCTGCTCCAGGTACTGCAAAAGGGCGTCTCGGTCCAGTGGCCCCGTTGGGCTCTTCTTTGTCTGGTCGCGTTGTCTTAGTCCAGCTGGCAGGAGCATGTTCTTAGGGATGAGTTTTGGGGAGCAAGTCAGACCTCCCCTCTGACATGGGGCACCTCCAGGGCTCCCTAAAAGATCTCCAGACATCTGTTCCCTGGCCCTCCTGGGACTCCAGTCCTTATAGGTAGCTCTGGTCTCAGCCACCCAGGGCCCTGCACCCTTCCCCAAAGGCCTGGGGACTGCCCCTGGTTCCTTGTTCTGGAGCCCCTACCTCGGGGTCCATTTCCTGTAGCTCGCAGTCCAGCTGCTCGAGCTCCTCAGGGCTCAAGGTCCTTAGGATCTCATCTTCATCTACGTCTCTGTATTTCTCCAGTTCCTTCAGATACGATGACATGATGGCCCCCTCCCCCTCCCCACCGTGTAGCACTCACAGAGCCTGGGGAACATGGGGAAAGTGGTTGGATAATGGAAAGACCTATATGGACAAACACAGAGGACACAAAGAGACCGGCCAGGGAGCAGAACCATGAACTGGATGCCTTAATGTTAGAAATCTAGCTGGGTGTGGGAAGATGGGGGAAGTTAGGCTGTTCAGTTAGGACCAGAGCTTCCTTCTTCCTGCTTCCCCAGGTTCCAGGTGTTCTGGATGGGGATCCAGGCTGGATTTGTCTTCCCACTGTGCGACAGAGAAATCCTGGCAGCACCCCTCCCCTATAGCTTCGCCCGTTGGGCCTCCTGACCTAGCACAGCTGCCGGGAGCCCTGCCAGCACAGCTGGCCCCAGGCCCAGTGCCTATTGAAGGAAAGTGGGGAGGTGGGCCGAGAACTTCAGGGATATTCCTCCTCTCTTCCCCATAATGCAATCTTTTTCTCAAGCTGGCTTAAGAAAGCAAGGATTGGGGTTTTGGAGAAATGACAGTTCTCTTACCCCACCCTCATTTCTTCTTTCATTGTGGAGGATCAAGATTTCACTTTCTACTTTTCTAAAATTCTGAAGTCCTAAGGGAAAGCCAGGGTGCAGAGTAGCTGGGGGAGCGGGTACTTTGAGGTTGGGGGAAGGGTGGTATGGCCTCAGGAGGAAGGGCTGAGTCCCCATAATTTGTCCCTGGCTTTGGACAGGAAGGTGACACCAGACCAAAGGGTGAAAAATACCTTCTAAATGGGATAAAGTTTCTTTAAAAACAGTGGATTAAATTTGCACAATCGTTTACAAAATAAAAAATACTTCGAAGCTACACATACACACCATGCTGAATGTGAAAGCCACAAAGTGTGTGATACTTATGTTGACAATGTAAACTACACAGTTAAGGGATATGACAGACAGTGGCAGAAACTTACATTGAGTGACAGAGACAGAGACACACTTTGCATTATTCCCGATTGGAGCCGCTTCCCAGAGCCATCTCCCACCGGGCTCTGATCCATAAGCCCCCTGCCTTCCCCACCTACCAGTCCTGATGGCCACTTCCCTCCTCACCTCCCCTTCTGTCGGTCAGTCTGTCTGTTCTACTGGAGCACACTCTCCGCGGCAGGAGGAGCCCAGTGCCCGGGTGCCGGGGGAAAGGGTGGGGGAACAGTGAGCTCAGCATTTTATTATTTTAGCTCTGGCCAGGTGGGGGGTAGTGGGAGATCACATATACACAGCCCCCATACCCTGCCCAGCCCTGACAGCCTCTAGTGGCCACCAACAGCCATGACACCTCCTCCCTCTTCAGATAGATCCTACTTATTTGGAGCCTGCTGCATTCAAAGCAGTGACTGTACGGTGATATAAAGGTGAGTGTAAGGACTTTGTTTTCTAATTTTAAGATGTTTATAATCTAGCTGGAGGGATACTTTACAATTTAAAAAGGGCAGCTATTAAACAAATATAAAGACCCATATATACTCGGACATTCACACATACTTACTGCTCCCAACCCTAGATTAGACATCAGACAAAAGGGATCTTTCTATTTTATTAGATTAAAAAACACAAACAAAACCAATAAGAACTAGGGGAAAAGATGGTGAAAGAAATACAGAGAAGGGCTGGGGCGAGATTAGAGATGACAAAGGGAGAAATGGGGAGTGGAGGCGGGACACTGAGAGCCCGCGGCAGGGCAGGAAAGAGGTTCCTGAGCAACAGAAATCTCTTCATTTGATGACAATTTTCTGGCGCAAGGCTCGAGGCCCAGAGCCAGGCAGGGGCTCCGGAGGTGGGGGGCCCGGGCCCAGGGCTGAGGCAGTGGGGGGCAGTCCGTGGGCAGTGATGTACTTCTTGTAGGCCTCACGGATGATCTTGAAGGCTCGAGCAGTGGCGTAGGGTATGTCAGTAACAGGGTCCCGGTAGAGGGCCGGGCGATGGGTCACTGGGCAGACCTCCCGAACAGGGACCTTTGGGGGCCGCACTTGGGGAAACCATTCTTCAAATGTCGCATCATCACTAAAAGTGATGAAGGTGCGTGAGCAGCGAGCAGGAGGGACAGCAGGTCCAGTCCCTGCACGGGGAGCCGTGGGAGCAGGATCAAGTCTGAAGAGAAAACAACAGATAAAGAGATCGGAAAGGTGAGAAATGAGGAGGAGGAAGCAGAGTGATGGCAACATTCTGAGAGAATCTATTAAGTGACAGATGGAAAAAGAAAGCTGGGCTGGATGGAAAAACAGAAAAGAGGGAGAAAAGAGGCCATAAGGGGAAGAAATAGGGACTTGAAGGGAAGGAGAATCTGAAACATATCGAAATGTCAGTAAGAGCTGTGTGAGGAAAGCAAGTGAAATAGGGTTGAGAAAATAAAGCTGAAAGAAGAGAGAAACCTCCCTCCCCTTTCCCCCTTGAGAGTGGCTCACCCTTCCACATCGACATTCTCTTCCTTAGGGCCTGGCTCTGCCACCAGCGGCACTGTCACTGAATGATAGGTGATTGTGGGCCCGGGGCACTTCCGCTTCTTGTGAACCTGCTTCTTTTTGTCAGCTTCGAGTCGCTCATATGTCTCTTCACGGTCAAAAGAAGGAATGAGAGGATGGTCAGTTCCCCCTCTCCCCATACCCCAGTTCCTACAGTCTCTCAACAGTCTTCCTGGATGTGCAGTCACTGCCTACTAAGCCAACTGTGAAAGTCCTCCAAGGTCCTCTAGCATCTCGCATCCTAATAGCATCCTGCTTGCCTTTTTTGAAATCTTCCTTGCTCACCATTTCTCAAGTCCACGTGGCTCCGCACCCACGCAGAACTGTAGGACTTCAGAGTTGGAAGGGACGCTTTGAGTAGGAGCCCTTTGAGTAGGACCCTCCCCACAATTGCCCTGTCAACTCCCAGGCATCACATTACATCTTTAGGCCTCTGCAGTCATTGCAGAGTTCTTTCCTATTTTGAGCTGAAATACACTTGCTGATGACATCATTTTTATCTTTTAAGGCCATAGAGGACAGAGTCTATCTATCTTCCACATGGCAGTCCTTTAAATAGCTAAAATTAATGTCCATGTGTCTCCAGGCTGATCACAACCCCCATCCCATTGACCCATTCCTCATATAATATGGCTTTGAGTCACTCCCTCCTTTTGCCACCCTGGATCCTAGGACACTCTTCTATTACTGTACGTATCACAGTCTATGGCAAGGTGGCAAGCTGGCAGCCCACTTAAGTATTCTGTTTGATCTGTATTGTCTTTTAAAGAAAAATTTGAATTAGTTGTTGATATTTAAAAATTAGACAATTATTTTAAATACAGAGATTTCTGGTCTCTCTTAAAAAATAACAAGAGCCCTGCCTGGTGTGGCTCAGTTGATTGAGTGCCAGCCTGCAAACCAAATGGTCGCTGATTCGATTCCCAGTCAGGGCACATGCCTGGGTTGTGAGCCAGGTCCCCAGTTGGGGGCGCGTGAGAGGCAGCAACACACTGATGTTTCCTTCTCCTTCTCCTTTCCTTCCCTTCTCTATATAAAAAAATAAATAAATAAATAAAGTCTTTAGTAAAAAAATAAGAAAATCTGGCAACCCTGGGCCTGAGTTCTCACACGTAGCTGAGCTGAGGAACTGCTCCTCCTTTCACGCGCACCTCTCTAATACACCACAGTCCCCCGGCACTGCTCTACAGACGTTCACTGTTAGTATGTATGTCTCCTCTTTGTGGGCAGTGACTGTGCCTCATATTACCTACAAATTAAGATTTTTAAAAACTTATTTACTTTTAGAGAGAGGGGAAGGGAGGGAGACAGACAGGGAGAGAAATATCGATGTGTGAGAACAACATCAATTGGTTGCCTCTCACACACCCCCCACTGGGGACCTGGCCCACAACCTAGGCATGTGTTCTGACTAGAATCGAACCAGCAACCTTCTTGTTCTCAGGCCAGCACTCAATCCACTAAGCTACAGCAGCCAGGGCATCATATTAGCTATACATTATCAAGTCATGCAGCATTCCACACATTACAGGCACTCAGTAAATATTTGTTACTGCATACATAGATGAAAATATTCTTGGTCCCTTTCCTCTGAATTAACTCCAAATTTCTGTTTCCTTGTTAAATGTGGGTACTGTGAACACAAAACTCTAGATAAATTCTAACCAGAAGAGTCCTCTAGAAACCCCTCAAGTAATTAAACCCTTTGTATATTTAAATTTCTGGCTGATATTACTGCTTTCTTTCCCTTGAGCCAATCTTCCAACCCTTCTTCTCTCGAACACTTCCTTGTACTCTCTGTAGCACCTGCTCTGTAATCAGCCAACTCATTTACAACCTCCCTCACTCAGCATTCCTCTCACAACTGGCCTTACCAGAAACCTGTCACCTACTGAGGCCACCACTCTCCCTGCAGCCCTCTGGCAGAGGCTGCTCATCCTCTCACACCCACGCAAGATATGCCTGTGTCCTGCAGAGTCCCACACTGTAGCTTTCGGATCACTGTTATTCTACCCACCTACACAGTCACTTCTGAGACCTAAGGCCACAATCTAGCTTACCTTCTCTCCTTCTTAGTCAGTCACTCCCTCACTCATGGAAGACTTTGGCAATGGTTCTCAACTTCTATCATCTCAGGTCACCCTGGTAACTTCAAAGTGCACACAAGTAGCCCCTTCAACACCACATCCCTAGTTTCTTTATAACCTCATCTTCTGACAACCTTTCTGTCCATGACACATTAGTTACTCCACTCTGCTATAGCTACAGCCTAGACTTTGTCAATGTCTGAAACTGCCCCAGCTCTAAAATATTCAAAACCACACACCCAGGTTCTTACCACAACATTCTACTCTTCAGGTCTGTTTGCTTCTCTATCCTATAGATAACTGTTCTTCTACTTCTTCAGCACCTGCTGTACATGGGTTCTCCTCATTCTATCAGCCCCTTCCAGACTTCATTTTCCTTTTAAAATGAAGCTTAGATTCTTCAGCCTACCATTTCAGTCATTCTCTTGTTAATGTAAACTCCCACACCTACACCTGGACTGCTGAGTGCTATTAGAGAAAAATTATACAACAGGTCAAATCAACTCACCACACATTCATGGTCTCATACTTCAACAGACCTCCGACACCAGCAGATGATCCTATCTCTACAATCTTTACAACACCCTTCACTCTCCTCAAGCTTCCAGCTCTATCTCCAACACCTGACAGATGATAGTGCCCAAGAGACATCAGATGAAAACTACTGCAATGTCCTGCTCTGGATTTACAAACCTACAGTTATAAGTCACCCGCCCTCCCTTCCTCTTAACTTAGGCCGATTCTTCCACCTGTGCTTTAGCCCCACCTCCTTTCTCCCACTCCACCCCTCACTACTCCCAAAACCTACACTATTAACCACCCTTTCTTTCTTATCTAATTAACTTCGGCTGCATCTCACCAACTATACAGTCCTGCCAATCTTTGAATAAAAAAAAAAAGGAAAAAACAAACAAAAAAAAACAGGGACAAACTCTATCTTGACCCCAGACAATACCCCCCCACCCCCCTGCCCGCCCTGCCCCATAGCTTCTAGTGCTTCTCCTATCTTTCATAGCCAAAGTTATAAAGTTTGGCTTCCCAACCAACTTCAAAATGGTTTGGTACCCAAAAAGGGCTCCCTAAGGTCATCTCTGACCTCCATGTCACCCACATCAATGGGCACTTCTCAGTTCTCCTCTTAACTGGTGTTTCAGAAGCATTCAGCAGTTACTACTCTCTTTGAGAACATGCTTTTTCCTTGGCATACTTAAGACAAACTTTCCTGGAGTCCTCCAACTCTCTGGCCACGCCATAGGTTCTTCTCTAAGCTCTTCCTTTTGTACAAGACCATTACATTTCATTTATTTTTTTTAAAGATTTTATTTATTTATTTTTAGAGGGGAAGGGAAGGAGAAAGAGAGGGAGATCGATCGATTGGTTGCCTCTCGCATGCCTCCAACTGGGGACCTGGCCCTCAACCGAGGAATATGCCCAGACCGGGAACTGAACCAGTGACCTTTAGGTTTGCGGGAGGATGCCCAACCCTCTGAGCTACACCATTACATTTTAATGTTTACAGGATTCTCTTGGGCCTGCCCTCTCTTCTTACCCTATACTTCCTCCAATGTCAT